ATTGTTATTGTTATATCCCTTTTTGCCGATGATGCTGGATAACTAATGGGTGAAAGGATCAAATCCATTCACAGTAGCAACACGGTCTTAACATACCGCATAGTACAAACCACACATAATTAATCCCAGCACCACTCCTTTCAGAGTCAAAAAAAGCTGCGACGGTCGAGTGGTGGGAAGACCTACGCAGAGGTTTACCGAAGACCAGGAGCCTTTACCTCACAACCTAGAGGCGAGCACAAAGAAATCAAATTGGCTTACACTAGCTCGAATAAAGATGACATGTGATTTGGAATAGGTCTATATTACAAATTCAGAGACTGTTTGTTCTGACAGAACAATGCAGGAGCGCAAATTTGCGTTGGATCCGGGTCGTAGATATGCGCATTAAGACAGTCTTGAACGCTGATATAGATATGAACCTTAGGCACTCTGGTAGAATATATACATATATATAATGAATCATATGTAATCTGTGCATGTGGATGATCAACGCACAAAGAATAAGAAGTTGAAGTCATAGTAGTAGTGTGGTGAGAGCTTGCTGCTAGTCAAAGTTGGTAGACAGTAATTGACGTCAATGTTTATGTCCCCAATATTGGTGGTGAGAAAATGAGAACAAAGGCTTTGCGTAGGCGGATACAGTTAGCATATGGATGATCTGAAACAGCTACAAAGAGATGCAAGGTTAACTTTCTGTGAGAAACAAGCAATCAAAAGATTGTATTTTCTACTAACAATAATCTACAATAATGTACATTAAAATCTATAAACAAGTGTTGATTTTCCTTAATAAACGATTTGTTGCCAGGCCCATGTCTTCTGTTGTTACAGTAGTAGTGGTAGTACTTGATGTTGGTGTGGTTGTGATTATCATTGTAGACGAAGGAAGAATACTACCAGTCGTCGCTATATTTCGCCTTGATCCAATTATACAGTATGCACAGAAGCATAATTGTCGACTAAATATTACTGATGTATTATTCACATAGTGACTGGAAAAAGCAGAAGCAGACGAAGAAGAAGCATTATTCTCACATGATGAATAGGTTCTGATAGACTGTTGCTGTTGTGGTTGTTGTTGGTTGTCGTCTGTATGGTCTGGGTCCAATAAATTAAGTATATCCTTGTTATTATTACTATGAATATCCAAATGTTGACTGAAAAATTATTTGTGCATGTCAACAAACAGATAAATGTTCCCGAAAAGTATCAGTTTTTGGAAAAAGACGTTTGCACTAACCAAAACATCGTCGGTGGCACAGTGGTAAGGACTCTCGCCGACCATGCACATGGTCCGGCGCACACCCGATATCTATGGTCGGCCTGAATTTGGGCTACCGATATCCATGCTGAAAATTCCATACTTGTACTTAAAATAGATTGTGGAATCAAGCTGTAATCAAAATATAAAAAAATACTTTTCATGAATACAGTCCGATCGATGTTCTGCTAACGAGCTCGCTAGAAAGTCCCTTACAAATTAATTGGTGAGCCTGACTGAACAATTTAGCTTTATAAACTGTATATTTATTCTGTTATCATTTTTATTTTTGACTGCTTATTTTATATATTCATATATCTGTGCACGTGTATGTTCACGTAATAATCATGTCTTCACTCACTTGTTCACTTGCTGCACCTGGAACTGACGAGGCACCAGATTCAACAATCAACGCAATAGCCAACCTGCGTCTACCTCCTTTTGGTTTTACTGAGCCTAGGATTTGATTCGTCATCAGTGAACCCCTGTTTTAATGCCTCGAGGTATTAGGTCACAGATTGCAAAGTATGGATGAGTCTTAGCTGCACTTCCTACAGGGGTTCTCAAAGACATTACTGATTCAATCGACAGCACTACTGCAAACCACCAATATGATAGACTCAAATCAGTTTTGATCCAAAGAAGGAGTGTTCCTGACGAGAAACGGATCCAGCAATTACTCACTGAATTTGAGTTAGGTTCACAGACGCCATCTCAGCTTCTCGGGCATATGCGTCAACTGAATAATCCACATAAGGTTGACGAAGTGGTCTTACGACAGATGTGGTTGGCTTTATGTATATAAAAAGCCTGATGAGAATTTATCGGATTTTCATGAGGTGATGGTATTTCCACTGAAAATCTAATTCAGAAACCACCTTTCAAACGCGAAACTCATCAATTATAAAAAAGTGATAAAGTACTTGAAGTTAAATCTATCTCTGAAATGTATTCGAATGGGAATTACTGTTGACATTCATGGATTACCTCCAACTTACTTTATATCCTTATGACTATCTCCTAACAATTACATTTACAGATGATATCCAAAAGTTAAATTCATTCTATTTCATTGATTGATTGCTTTTGAAACGTTTCTACTTTACGACTGTGACTGTGAGGACCGTGTTAACAGTTACACAGGGATGGTTAGAGCTTTAGGTCCTTCACATTTCACTACTTTAGAGAAAAAGATGTAATTGATCTATAAGCAATCTACTATACCTAATGTAGCTGTGAATTCATATTCAATTTACGGCAGGTTCGCATGTCAGAACAGCTTTGAATTTCTTTCGATTAATGGTAGCAAATGTTGTCATCAGTGTGGTCTATGAAGTTCGCTATTAAAGCTGGATAATTTGACAACTTGATTCTGTGCTTCGGAAAAAAAGGGGACCTCGAGAGTTGAAGTGCAGATAAGTGGAGTATTAGTGTGGTCAGAGCTGGTTGCGAACATGCCGAAATTGTAAACAACAATTTACGTCAGTGTTACCTCCGGAATCAGGGTCATCAGAAAAACGATAACCAAGCTGAGAAACTCACCACCCAATCACAGCGGACTTAACGTGTGCAAATAGGATTCGCAGATATATGGCTCAACTTTCTGAGAAACGGCTACAAGCAGTACAGAATAACCTTCAGCAAGAAAACAACCAGCCAGAAGGGGCTACTTCTCCGCTGAAAATAATGTACATAAAAATCTATAAATATCTGTTGATTTTCTCAATAAACGATCTGTTGCCTGGCCCTTGTCTTCTGTCGTTAAATTAGTAGTACACTTGTTGTGCTGCTCTATTTTGAACAAACTAGCGTACACGTATATCCTAGTATTTCTTCGCGTTTATAATTGTGTCCTAATGTTGTGATTACTCGACATCCACAACGTAAATCAAAAGGCACTTGCGAAGGAATACGATCGTGTATTATCGCAGTAATCAAAATTCAAAAATTGAGCGAGTACAAAAGTATCAATTGTTAACACGCAATATTTAGAGTGATAAACAAATCAAAGTCCAATTACATAGTGAAAGTATACTTCGATGATGAGTAATAAAATGGGTCACTACACACTCATTAAGAAGCCTGACAACTTGAGTAGCACTTTTGTAGATTCCTACAGACGGATATACCTTAGTTTTTAATGATTTTTTCGCCGTTATTTGTTTATGATGAAATCCTCCACGATGCACATTATTTGCCAACACCTGATCAGGCAAATAAATACAAAAGTGCTTTGAATTCACTGTGATTAATCAATTACTCTGATGAAATAAACTTTGTGAAGTACGCTAATGATTTAACAGTTTCAGTGGCTGTTAACTCCCGGCTAGATTGTACCAAAATAAATAGCTTTCTGTCGGGAGTCAGTAAATGGTCTGAGTCTAACGGTCTTAAACTGAATCCTTCTAAATGTCAAACTGTTAATTTCAGCTTAAGATGCAAACGACAGTTAAAAGAAGCCGTCGATTCTCATGACAGTTGTAATATTGACGACAATGATATAGGAATTAAATCAGAAATTAAGTATCTTGGACTTATTCTCTCTTCTGATCTCTCCTGGTCTTCCCATGTCTCAGCGATCTCCAGTAAAATATTCCGCCTGACATTTTACATTAAGAAGTTAAGGCACTGGGGTATAACTCAACCCCTCCTCTTACAGTTCATAAACTCTTGCATCCTACCTATTCTTCTTTATTGTTCACCCTTATTCTTTCCTGGTTTGCTTAAAAAGGACTATGTCACAATTCGTAGAATGCTGAAGACTGTCAGTAGGGTGAGTGGTGTCCCAGTGGACCACATAGTTAACGTCGTTGTCGATAGGCACTTGACTTCGTGCAATAAATTTGCTAAAGGGATTTTGTCTGACTTGGAGCATCCACTTCACCCTCAGCTTTCACCTTGCATCTCCTCAGGTAGAACAAGAAGTAACTTCAGAAAACTGTATGCTCGCACGTCCAAGTATAAAAATTCTATGATACCATACTTGGCACGTATTTTATGTGATGAAAATAGTGTCAGGCAAGAATTAACTAACCTTTTTTCATCTAGTAAATAAACAATCTCCCCCATCCATCCTTATATACCTTCAAGTTTTACTTTTATTATTTCTATTATATTTATGGTCCTGTTGATTCTTTGTTTTTACTTTCATAATTGCAAACACCAACTTATCTCTATGACTTCTGTAATCTTTGTTTTTTTCCCTCACCATATCATGTAAAGAGAACATCATATTCAATATTTTTAATCATGAAAGGATTTGTATACCACATCGACAATACTGTGTGAAACAAGCCCACCGCAATTTTCACTTGTATTATTATTATTACCTTAGCTGTTATCATTATTATTATTTCTATTTTATATACTGCATGTTTTTTTTGACATTACCCCTACTGTAAATGTGGGAAATTTCCTGTGTGATTAATTTTATTTATAAATTGGGGGAATTAGATGCAATATTGTGATTAATGCTGACAATTCCATTCTGTATCACAAGTACTGTTTTTGGAATAAAGTAAATTATTATTATTATTATTATTATAGCCTATCTGACTTCAAATCATTATCTTAGTGTAGAGCATTCAGAATTTCATAGGTGTTCATTTTTGTAAAACAAACTTGTCTGGTTCTTTGTAAATAAAAATAGGTCACGTGAGGTAGTGTTGGTTAGACAGGCACTGGCAAAATTCACTATATATATTACACACATATATGAGTGAGTGATTATAAAATTGTGATTAGTTAACTACAGAACGTGTATGGTATGTTCTAAAACATTTTTCTTTCAACATGCTTTATTATCGAAAATCCATAGCCTAATGCCTACAAATATTATGCTTTATGCTGGTCAAATGTCTCCAGTTTATACAGGAGGTGAAAAGTAATTCTCACTAAACATACTCAAGCATACTTTCATAAGTCTTTTGTGACTTACATATCTGTGTTGGATCCTGTTAATAAAACATACTCCATAGACATTTTGTAGTTTACTTGAAATCATATCCATTCCTTCAGATGATGATTTTTTGTATTCACTGTGTAAACTGGGGTGTATTTTGTTTCAAAAAGTAGTAGGTAGGTTTCTTTTGATCATTTATCATATAGATAGATGATTGAGATGTAATTAGTATACTTGGTTAATCCTTAATAATAATGATGAAAAACTCATCGATTCAATGTATGAAAGAATTTTTTCTCATTGTAGGAATTTAATAGTTGGCTAACATGTGACTGTTCCTTATTCTGATTGTCTACTTGCTCCGTTCGCTGTCTTTGATCATAGGTGCCTGCGTTCTATCTCCCGTGTGAAGTGGTATGATAAGGTGAGCACTATTGAGGTTAGGCGTTAAGTGCTAGGTAAGGAGGGGAAATCAGTCGACGAGACTGTGAAATTACATCGACTGAGATGGTTAGGACATGTGTTACGTTTGGCTAGTCATCGCCTTCCTCGACCAATGGGCAATGTTAGCTGATATAGGGCCAGGCTGGAAAAGAGCTGGCGGCGGTCAAACCAAAACATGGCACCAGTTGATGAAATCTACAACAGTTAGTTTAGGCCACGTAGGAAGGTGTAGACTTCCTGACTAGTTGGGGTCCTCGGGACGGTAAAAACTAATGGTTGGAAACAATTGGTGACATGGCTCAAAATCGTCCTCAATGGCGCATCCACTCCTTGTGACTTATGATTTCCAATGGAACTGTTTTGTTCTTCGTTATTACTATTCCTTTGTCTCACACCTCTGTTTACTGTCTCTAATATGCATTTCTCCTACTTTCTTCTCTTGCTTTGTGTGCTACATGGAGGGAGTGTGGCGACTTGAACTGCCGCATATATGTGCGAAGTTCTATGTTGAAAACAGACAGACAGACGCAGACTTGTTCGGTTATACTTGTTGTTATACTGACTATCGGTTAAACCACTAACTAACTGATCAGTACTTATAGTAGTAGTTCAGCATAGGTGTTTTGACTAGCCATTAATATCTGCATAAGTTTTCAAGTATTGGTTTGTAGGGATTTTGTTTGATCGGCTGGATGATTTCATCATCAGCTGATCTCGGTTAGAGAAGCATTGGAAAACTTGGGAGTACTGGATAGCTGTTTCAGGACTCTTCATCAGTAGGCACCCACCGGGGTTTGAACCAGTAGGAAACAGCAGGTCGAAGGTGAGGACAATTACTCATCGAAGAAGACACTGCTAAGGAGATAGTCGTGACTCTGAATCTACCATGGTAATACGTTTTACTCATTATTCTACCTCTTTTCTTCTTCTTCTTATCATTATTATTATTCGTGATTCATTTAAAACTATCCTTTATCAGTAGGATAATCCTAACTCACTTCAACACTATTATTATTATTATTATAACTATTACTATTGATATTACTCTGTTTGCAATTCTTGATGTATTCTCCAATGACTAATTGTTAACTTAAATGATGTAATTGAAGTGTAATGCATTTTATCTTAATTTAAATCTCTCATACTCTCTCTTCCCTTATCTATTTGAACATGACCTGGAAAACATTCGCACCTGTCTTTCTGTATGTATTATTACTATTGTTTCCTTTAATTCCTAGAGGAAAATAGGGCTTCAGCCGTGCGTCTCCATTGCGTTCGGTTCTCTACTAGAGTCTTCACCTGGCTCCAAGTCTGCCCACACATTTTCATCTCCTCTTCACATGACCGCGTCCAAGTCACCCTTGCACTGACGACCAACTCGCCGCTTCCCTTTCGGGTTCCACTCGAGCAATGGCTTTTCTAGTGATGTCACTTGATGGTTTCCTCAGAGTATGGCCAGCCAATCCATCTCCATTCCTTCCTGCCTATTTGTTTCACAATCGGTTCCTGCTGTGTTGGTTCGCTCATGCCAGAGATCTCTGTTGCTGATCTTTTCTGGCCGGCCATCTGATCTTGACTGGTATTGAGCGAAGACAACTGTTAATGAAGGTCTGTAGTTTGTTTGAGATGCTCTTTATGATGCGCAGTGCATGTCTCTGATCCGTATGTTAAGTAGCACTGACTTCACATTGGAGTTGAAAATCCGGATCTTATTTTTGATGCTGAGTGTTGTTGACCTCCCCACAGACTTGAGAGTAGTGAAAGCTTGTCTTGCTTTTCTGATTCTTGCTTTGATATCCTCGTCAGTTCCATTCGCCTGTAGTTGAAACGATGCTTCCCAGGTAGTTGAAAGAGGTTGTTTCTTTCAGGTTCCTCCCATTTATGCTTATTGTTGTCTGTTGTCGTTGTTGTTGTTGGTGGTGTTGCCCAGGCATCTTCATTACCTCTGTTTTCTCAATGTTCACCTGAAGTGTTGTCCTATCTTTGATGCTTCTTCTGCCAACTTGTTGCTTTTCGCTTGCATATCTTCCAGTTTATGGGAAATCAGACATATATCATCGGCGAAATCTAGATCCTCGAAGTATTTTGTGTGAGTCAATTTTATGCTTGTTTCCCCATTGCCCACTGTTTGTCACATTATCCAGTCTACTGCAATCAGTCTTTCTGCATGACTAATTCAATTTAGTTTGTTTACTTATCAGTCTTATATCTCCCAATTTAATTTCAACTGTATATATATCCGCGTATGTAGAGTATCCAGCTGACGAGTTCTACCGAAATTTGATGAATTCATTAAATCCTGCTTAATTAACCTTTATTGCTTGTTTTAAATTCGTATCGGGAAATAAATGTTTTCAACACTTCTAAGTGGTCGCGCTATCTCGCGAACTGGCAGAAGTTAGAATTCATGGACTGGCCATTGGATCGGGTCCCAGTGGCTTTATGGTCTATGAGCAAGCTCACCTTGTAACCGGAAGGTCCTGGGTTCAAACCCCGTTGGTGGATGGATGCTTACTGCCGAAGAGTCCCAAACTAGGACGAAACAGCTGTCTGGTACTCCGTGGTGGTTTTCCAATGGTTCTCTAACCGATGGCAGCTCATGATGAAATCGTCCAACCAATTGGATAAGTGTTTATTTTTGTATAAATTATTGACTATGAGTTTGATATCACTTAGAGTGATACACGAATTCTCATGCATGTTAGTGGATTATATGTATATATTTAAAGGTTGTCTCAAAATTTATCTTAAAATTTATCTTTTATCAAGTCTTTATTAACCTCATTCAACAACTGGCTATATGACTATTCCACGTGTCAGGTGATGCACAACAGAAAACTCAGCGAGGCTTTTGAAGTGCATACCGGAGTAAAACAAGCTGGCTGCCAATTATAACCGATGACATTCTTAATTGTGGTCGACTGGATTATGCGTCAGACTGTGCATTGGGAGTGAGAAGACAGGAATACGCTCGACCACCGATAAGTAGACTCTAGAAGATCTGGATTTCGCAGATGATATATGTCTAAAATCACATACACACACACAAACTCGAAGAGTTGCAGGCGAAAAACAACAAACTGGCAGAAGAGGCAAGCTGTGAAGACAGGACTCCAGGTGAACACAGAGAAGATGGAGGTGATGAAGATAACCAACGAACTGCGACACTAACAACAACCAGCACCGATCACCATCAATGGGAGAGATTTAACAGAGGTTGCCTCCTTCACTTGTCTAGGAAGCATCGTTTCAACCACAGGTAGTCGGAACGGATGAATATGTCAAAGCCAGCCAGAATCGGAAAGGCAAGATACGCCTTCATCAACCTGAAACCAGTTTGGAAATCTTCTGCACTCCACCTCAGAATAAATAACAAGATTCGGATTATGTTCAACACAAATGTGAAGTCAGTCAGTCAGTCACTTCTTCTATAGGGGTCAGAAGCTTGACACGAGTGTCGTGGAAAGGATTTCCAAAAGGTAGCAGACTTTGATCAACAGCTGCCTTCGTTGACTCCATATTGAGGATCAAATGGCGAGCAGCCCAGGAAGAATTAGCAGCAAGAAACTCTGACTGGCGACGAACCAACCAAGAGCCGATTGCTCAACAAATGTGTAGGAGAAAGTGGAGATGGATGGATCGGACATACAGTGAGGAGGTCATCAAATGATATCGCGCACGATGCAGGCCATGGCTCGAGTGGAATCCAAATGGGAATAGACGAGTGGGTCGTCGGTGCGTGGGTGACATGTAGGAGATAGTGCACAGAGGAGATTGGAGATTATGGGTAACCGTGGACCCAGCTGAAGAGGACAGCAGAAAATAGAAGAAAGTGGAGATATGTTGCTGAAGCCCTATTTTCCACTAGAACACAGGGGAATAGTAATATTTATTATTATCTTTTATCATCAGTACGACAGAGGTTCCAATTTTTTTGATTGTTCGTCATGTGAGAAGTGGATGCGTTTTATCTGATATGTGATGTTGACACCATAAACTAACGCATCAGATCTAATATAGTGATAAGACTATCTGAATATGTCTGTAGATTGGCAGACTGATACTGGCGTAATTGGTGTTGGTTGAAGGTGAAACAACACACCTCGGCATTACCAGTGATGATTAGAGTGAAATGATAACCTGATGATTAGCAGTTGGGGACAGCTGACAAAGCATTGGACTAGTGGTTTCTAGGCCTCTAGTCCCAGTCCGGTCACAATTGAGATATTCATTTCACCTTCAATCATCACCAATTGGATTAGTACATTTTCGTATGTTAACCAAACACAATTTTTATCAGATAATACTATTTAAAACTTGTTAGCTTAATCAAAACCTCTCAACACTGATGGTTTTTTAAATTAAATCTTATGTACATGATAAACTGTCTACTACGAAACTAGTTCTTAAACTGATTTCGTCTAGGGCTGAATCCATAATATTTGATTGGATATTTCAACTCTAATTTATTCAATGATAAATGGAGTATCGTGTCAAGAAATCTCTTTAGTTCATTTGTGGTAAAACAAAGTCAAGCAGGATATAAAAAGAATTACATTTTTACAGAATACATTTTATACCGTTGCATTTTTTAGTCTACAGTTTATACAGTTAAGTGATTGTAAGTTATTCAGACAAGCATGAAGTTAGTATACCTCAGAGTTTAAATTCATTCATAAATTCAACACTACTGCTATTTGAGCAAATTTTACTAATCTTTATTTCACACCTGCTAAGAATTTTTTCCAACAATTTCAATATTCAAGTGTTGGTTTGTAGGGATTTGATTGGTTACAGGATTTCATCATGAGCTGACATTAGTTAGAGAACCATTGGAAAACCAACCCGGATTACTGGACAGCTGTTTACTCCGTCCTAGTTTGGGACTCTTCAGCAGTACGCACCCACCACCAGGGTTCGAACCCAGGACCTTCTGGTTACAAGGCGAGCTCGTAGACCATTAAGCCACTGGGACCCGATCCAATGGCCAGCCCATGAATTCTAACTTCTGCCAATTCACGACATAGCGCGACCCCTAGCCAATGTCTTCGGTGAGTATTTGTCCTCACACCCGACCTGCTGCACCCTACTGGTCACGACTTTTCACTAGAGGACAAATACTCGCCGAAGACATTGGCTAGGGGTCGCGCTATGTCGTGAATTGGCAGAAGTTAGAATTCATGAATTGGATCGGGTCCCAGTGGCCTAATGGTATACGAGCTCTCCTTGTAAACCAGAAGGTCCTGGGTTCGAATCCAGGTGGGTGCGTACTGCCGAAGAGTCCCAAACCAGGACGGAACAGCCGTCCAGTACTTCCTGCAGGTTTTCCAATGGTTCTCCAACTAATGTCAGCTCATGACGAAAATTTCAATATTATTTTACTTTAACAGTATACCACTGACCTCAGCTGATAGTGCTTGTATGATCATCTGGAGTGCTGATGCTGGTGAGCCAAGTCATTTCGTCCAACTTGCCTCCTAAACGAGAGAAAACAATGCTCAGTGTACATGTGACTGCTATTTGGTTGACAAGCAATATCTCTTGGAGTGAGTAGTGCTCGACTGCTTACATTAGTGAGACATATATAAACGTCATCGTATTATATTGCTGGTTGGTTTTCTTGATTCGTATTCATGGAATACAAACACATCACACGCATAGTGGTCTAAATATTTTGAGTTTCCGAAGGAAATTGTGATGAATTAGCACGAATCACTGAATAATTTGCAAAATAGCTAAGTGAGAGTGAACATATTTCGGTTTAACCATGCTTTTTAGCGTCAGGCAAGAATCGACTAACCTTTTTTCATCTAGTAAATAAACAATCTCCTCTATCCATCTTTATATACCTTCAAGTTTTACTTTTACTATTTCTATTACATTTATAGTCCTGTTGCTTCTTTGTTTTACTTTCATAATTGCAAACACCAACTTATCTCTATGACTGTTGTAATCTTTGTCTTTTCCCTCACCATATCATATAAAGAGAACATTATATTCAATATTTTTAATCATGTAAGGATTTGTATACCGCATCGACAATACTGTGTGAAAGAAACCCATGGCAATTTTCACTTGTATTATTATTATTACCTTAGCTGTTATCATTATTATTATTATTTCCATTTTATATGCTGCATGTTTTTGACATTACCCCTATTGTACATGTGGGAAATTTTCTGTGTGATTAATTTTATTTATAATTTGAGGAAATTAGATACAATATTGTGATTAATGCTGACAATTCCATTCTGTGTCACAAGTGATGTTTTTGGAATAAAGTAAATCATTATTATTATTTTTCCTGCACAATTAAGTTTCTCAATAAAATAAGATGTTTTTACATGTTAGGTGATGGGCATTTTTCATCTCCACTGTACTCAGTATGATGCGATGCATTTCACTGTTGACTGAATGTTTTTTTAGTAATTTTAGTCAGTAATTGCTAAATATCTAAAGAATATTTAATTTTTTTTAATAATGTTTCATAGAAACTGAAATTAGCAACAACTACATTTCCTCATATTGGAGATAAACTATTCCAAAAATGGCTAGAATAGGCAAGGGTATTCAAGTTCCACTGTCATGGATTCCAGCAAGAAATGGAAATACTCCATCTGGAGCAGTTGATGTCTGCTATGGTATCTATGTAATTCGTAGAAAGTATGAAGATGAATGGATTCCTGGAAAGCTTATTGTCAGTTACCGAACTTGTTACTGTCCTGTTAATGGCAAAGAGTTGGAATCACAGGAGTATGAAGTATTATGCGACAGTTGTCTTCCTGATTCTAAGAAATGGTAAGTTAAAATTTATTTTTGGTATCTAACCATACAAGATACAAACTATTCACTTTGTGGATTATCGACTATTTTTTTAGCATAGTGTTGTTTGCATGAAAACTAACAAAGCATTGATAAATGTGAAATCAAAGCGATATAAGGGGAATTGATTGATACTGATAACTAAACCAGTTGGGAACCTTGTTTTCAAAGTGGAACTCAACGGATAAGGTTTGATCTAGGAAGAAAACCTTTTCGATGACATGGAAAGAACTTTAATAGTTTGATACATCTGAAAGTTATTCTTTTTAAGTTCTTCAAATTGACTTAGGTGGTATATAAATGCCAATTTTATGGTGCGTCTCAGATATGTCTTTATAAGTTGTGATACTAGTAAGAATGTTAATCATTTAGCTTTAAAATAAGTTTCGTGACTCTGATTTACATGAAATGAAAGATCCTGCCTATTTATTTAGATGAGTTCAAAGTTTCTAATTGTCTTTACCTTAGATCTTTACTTCACATTTCTCTCTTCCCTTTTCATGGAAATGGATATACTGTCCATCTGAACTGGGGGACATTTAGCCGTGTAGGCTTTTTTAAGCGATCAGTTGAAATTCTTGTTCATTCCCCTATATTATTTGATTCTTCAAAGTTTCTCTCTTGTGTGTTTGTTAAATACTCTTATAAATACCAAGTAACTGACGTCTGATATAACTGAATTTAACAGAAACTATGACCATTTAGGAATTATTCTCATTTGCTGATGACTGCGATAACTTGGAGTGTTTGAAGACTGGAAACGACCGAATAATAACTTTTCTTGATGTGGCATCAGTTCTTACTTACTATAGTCAATCCTCATTTAGCCAAATGAGTAAATAAACGTTGTCCCATGGAATGGCAGATATCTTTCAAAGTGTACAAAATTCACAAGTCTCACCACCTACCTACGATAGGAAGTATCAGCAAACACTTAAGAGATGACGAGTTCAGCTGGAGGGAATTCTTATTCCTTTGACTGAACAGAGAATTCATATTTAATACGTGATTTTTAAGAATACGGAATTAAAGAACACCGTAAAGTGTTCATCAGTTAAATATTTCAAGGAATTCAGTCTACAGTTGGAAAAGAAGAAATCAATAGAATTTCTTTTCCGCTAACACTCACCGTCAGAATTGAAAAGGGGAGCTTACAAATAAAAGTGTACAGGGAAATCCCTTACACCCATGAAATTCTGAACTACAATAGGCCACCCGACAGGTCAAAGGAAATCTTATGTCACAAAATTGTTTCTACAAGTCAACACCAGCCATGGACACAGAAATACTGCGAAACTCTGGAGAAAACCACCTGAATTCGGTGTTCAGAGCGAATAATCACCCTTGTAAGTTTTTCAAAAAAACACAGAATAACACAGTTATCACAGATCAGAATCAGGATTACTTTGGAAAGTTAGGGGTATATATCACTCTACATCAAAGAAGTTTCATAAGTGATCAAACAGTTACTTCTTCCATTTGTAATTAAAGTGAGACATAAACCAATGAATTTATTACAAAGCCTACTGTGCAAAGCAGCAAATTCGTTCTCGGAGGAAGGTAGGACGAATGTAATTTTTGAAATCAGCTCCCAGGATTGTTTACAACACTCCCTTGTCGCATTACCCAATCAGTCCATGATTATCGGCTGACAGTAAGAAAAGACTACTCTTCTCCCTTGGTCTCAGTTGATGCACACATATATATTTACAGTTTCGATTAGGAGAATATTATTATGTTACAATATGCAAACCCGAAGACTACGACGCGATTTCTAGAAGCCCGGTATGCAAACAAAAGTTTGGTCACAGAGATGTGGACATACACACCCACTGTTCAGTCCTTTAAGCGAAAACACTCAACTGAATAGTTCAACAATGAGACGTGACAACATACTACAGAAAGATAAGTTTCAAATTTTGCGTAACAAAGGCTTGTTTTCCTTTTTACAGTTGGATAAAGACAACGAAGAGCAAATCCTGAATATTCATGTGACTTGCAAATACTCCTTACTTATTCATAAATTTATTGCAGATTGTACTATCAAGTCTGGTGGTAAATCTGAGAAAACACCAGTCGACTTCCATTTTCATCCTGAGCTGTGAAGTTCAGACCCATTGCCATCACTTCCCCTTTTCTAAAGCTTATGGAAAAACTAATACTTCTTAAACTTGAACCCTCCCTTAAAAACTTCGAAGACCCAAAACAATTTGCCTATAGACAGGGTAGGAGTACATTAGACGCTGCAGCTGTCTTACACAACAACATCGTCTCATCATTAGATAAAGGTGCCAAATACGTTCGCTGCACGTTTCTTGACTTCACTTCTGCTTTCGACTCTGTACCTAGATGTCTCTTCTAAATAAGCTCTCTTTGACAAAAACTGAGTCCTGGGTCACTAACTGGTTGCATTCCTACTTCTCTAACAGAATGCAGTACACCGTATACAAAGGTAAATCATCCTCTGCTGTACTCACTGAAGCCGGAGTCCCCCAAGGCGCTTTACTCTCCCCACCTCTCTTTTCTTTCTTTCTACATGACTTACCATCTTCAAATGACGTTAATTTTGTCAAATATGCTGACGATCTGTCTGTATCTTTGCCTATCAAATGTCAAAGTAACTGCTCTAAACTTAATGGCTTTCTGTCAGAAATCAGCCAGTGGTCCAAGGAAAATGGTCTTACCCTAAACCCCTCCAATTGCCAAACGGTCAATTTCACCTTTAGACATAAATCCGACCTAAACAAACTGTTTGGCTCTCACGAGGTATGCAACATGGACGGCACTGAAATAGAAACTAAATCGGAAATCAAATACCTAGGTGTCATTCTATCTGCTGATCTTTCCTGGTCGTCTCCTATCTTGGCGATTTCTAAGAAAATATTCCGTCTTACCTTCTACATCAAGAAGTTAAAACATTCTGGAATAACCCAACCCTTACTCCTACAATTCGTTAATTCTCGCATCCTGCCTATTATTCTCTATTGTTCCCCCTAAGTTTTCCCCGGGCTACTGAAGAAAGACTATAACATATTACGCAGGATGTTAAATGTTGTCAGCAGGGTAAGCAACGTGCCACTTAACCAGCTTGTTAATATTCTGGTTGACAGGCACATGGACTCATGTGAAAAATGGGCCAAATCCATTTTATCTAACTCACACCACCCTCTTCTCTCACAACTCTCCCCTTGCATCTCATCAGGTAAAACAAGAAGCCAATATAGAAAACTATATGCTCGCACCAGCAAGTACAAAAACTCAACAATACCCTACTTAGCTCGTGTTCTGTGTGATAAAGAAAGTATTAGGCGTGACACCTATAATTCATTAAATAGTCAGTAGAACAACTGGATCTCGTCTTTCCAACCCACATCATCAATAGGTACAACATTTTCTTTCTTTCTTTTCCTTTTCTCTCTCTTCTTTTTCCGTTATGTGCTGCTTTGTCTCTTTCTCTCGCTTACGCCAGTTATTAAGACAGCTCCCAACTTTTCTAACACCTTCAAACACTGTTTCAGCTCTACCTTTGCTACCGACATGCCAATGTATTGTTGTAATAATGAACTGTGGTTTCCCCAATCTATGTAGAATTCTATTTATTGATAATGTACTAACTGGATGCAATACTGTAGTAAAAATGCTGAGAATTCCATTCTGTATCACATGTGCTGTTTTGGAATAAAGCAAATTATTATTATTATCTTCTTTATCATTTCATGACAATTTATTTTGTAAGCTACTGAGTTAGACTGCAGTTTCTGATGTACGTAAAACCAATAGATTATCTGTCGAGTTAGTGAATATCGTTCCACTTGAATGCTTTTTTTCTAAATGAGTTATCCTGAGTGGCATTACAAAATTTAACGTCATCTTCATGAAACTTTGGAACCATCTAACTGAACAATACATGCAAGAACTTTGAAAGTGAAAAATGGTCCTGTAAGGATTAAGTGTTCCTCACTTGCTTCTTTTGTGATACACCGTATTAGTATAACAGTTTTAAAATTTACTTATCTGTTTGCGACTGGTTTCGATTTCCTAACAGTTCTTCATCTATTTGTTTTACGAAAATATGTAAAAATTCCCAATTATTCTTAATTTACAGCTATGAATGGGAACATGCATCAAGAGGTGCCGTACCGAAGAATGCTTTAGTTGCCGGTACGTGGTTTGGTACGCCGTTGTATATTGCCAAAGGTATTGTAAATCAAGAAATTTGTGTTGGAAAGGTCAGTCAATCAAATCTTTAGTATGAGATTTCAGTATAGTTGAACAACTAGTTATTTGCTAATTTTATTATATTTTCCTGTTGAACTGCAACACCCTAGCGTTGGTGATGCAATGGTGGAATGCTTGTCAGTCACGTGGGAGATGGCGACTTGATTCCCAGGCCGAGACACTCCTCATCTTTGACTAGTTTACTAACCACTGTTAGGCGAGGAAAAGAAGGAAGGTTCGGAGTTAGGCTAACCACGTGATCCCGTAAAAGACAACAAGAACGCCGGTTCGAATCTCAGAAGGGACATAAATTCCTTCAAGGTTGCAGATACGCCTTCCTCACTAGTGTCAGCTAGCATGGAACGATAGGTCCAAGGCTTCCTGTGGCCGATTGCCTCCAACCATCTAATGTCATGAATCCACTTGAATTAATCTTTCACGAGGCATTATTAAGTAACTAACGGGAGGATAATTAATACACTTAAGAAGTGTGAAAGAACGCGTTCAGTAGTCAAACGTTCTGATTGGTCACTTAGCTCTTTTCCATATAAAAGTGTTGAAGAGACAAAAAATGTTGGTGAGGTACTTGAGGAGATTTCATTTTAGTCTATCCTTTCAGTGGGTGTTAGGTGAGTGATTCCAGTGTTCCTCATCAAATAGTGAATGAGAGTGAGTGAGGTAGGAGTTAACTGTTTTATTTTATTGTTGCATTTAGGTTTATCGTTAGTTTTCAAAATTACATACTGTTTAGAAAGCTGATCGACTTCAGTAACGTGGTTGTCAACCTGTAGGCCATGACTAGACCGGTCGACATTAAAACAGTTTCCCTTTCAACAATTTTTCGTGAAGTCTTTTATATCCTGATTATATCTGCATTGAAACTTGGTTCGTCTACTTTATTTCAAATCAAATATTACGCCAACTCATTATTGGATTTTCAAGCCTTGACCTACCATTCTCATATGAGTATGCGCTTCTATGAGCAAGATACTTTCCCTATTCTTGTCGTCAAGCATTTCTGCATCATTTATCATTATGACTGAATGTGTCAATTGAAATTTCCAACTTGTGAATTACACAGTTCACTGTATCTTTCAGAGACCTGATATATTTAAAACACAAAATGTCATCTACTTGTTATCGTAAATGAAAATCGTGAAATCAAGCATACTTGAATTAAGGTATATACAACTGACTGATGATCCACTGATGAATTCAGCCTCAAAATGAAGAAACATTTATCTTGAGTTTGTACCATAGCGTACCTGAAATATTCATCAACCTTATTCAAAAGCTGTACGACAACGGCACATGTCAAGTGATCCACAACGGAAAACTCAGCGAGGCGTTTGGAGTAAACACAGGAGTCAGACAAGGGTGCTTATTATCACCAATGATATTCCTAATTGTGGTGGACTGGATTTTGCGTCAGACAGTGGGAAACGAGAAGATAGGGATATCCTGGATCGACGTGAAGAACCAAGGAGACCTGAATTTCGCGCATGGATGATTTATGTTTGATGTCACACAAAATCGAAGACTTACAAGCGAAAACCGACAAACTGGTCGAAGAAGCAGCCGGTGAAGACAGGACTGCAGGTGAACATAGACAAGACGGAGGTTATGAAAATAACCAACCAACAACAACAACAACAGCAACAACATCCAGTGCCAATCACCATCAACGGGAGGGTTTGAAAGAGGTTACTTCATTCACTTATCTAGGGAGCATTGTATCAACCACAGGAGGAACGGACGAAGATGTCAAATCGAGAATCGGGAAGGCGAGAAACACATTCATCATCAACCTGAAACCAATCTGAAAATCTTCGTCACTCAGCCTGCATCAACAACAAAATTCGGATTTTCAATACAAACGTCAAATCAGTCAGTTCTTCTATACGGATCAGAAACTTGGCCAGTGTGGCACAAAGAATATTTCCAACAGCCTGTTTCAGACCTTTATCAACAACTGTCTTCGTTCTATACCGAAGATCAGATGGCCGGAAAGAATCACCAACAAGAAACTATGGGAAGAAACGAAACAAGTACCAATCGCCCAACAAATATGCATGAGAAAGTGGAGATGGATTGGACACTCGCTGAGAAGGCCGCTGGGTGACATCGCGCGTCAGGCCAATGCTCGAGTGGAACCCGAAAGGGAAGCGACGAGTGGGACGTCGAAGGGTGACATGGAGGAGATCGTGTGAAGAGGAGTTGAAACAGTATGGTCTAACATGGATGCAAGTGAAAAGTACAGTAGAAGACAGAAGCAAGTGGAGACGTGCAGTTGAAGCCCAATGTTCCACCAGGAACCCAAGGGAACAATAATATAATGATAAAAATAATAATATATCTTGAGTTAAGGTGGCTACGATGTGTTTAGTAAGCTCTATTAGTTGATTTTGTTGGCTCCAAACTACTCATATCAACTGACCTGTAGTATATATCGTCCTTAATAGTGTCATTATTCGTATTATTATTTTTATAACTAGGCGAACAACTCATATCCATATACTGTGTCTTACCTAGGTGTGGTTTCTGTTGAATAAATACTGTTGCATAACTCCTTCAAAGATCTATATATAACGCTGTCGGCTTAAAGCCTAAATATTTTACTCGCTGCGTAAGTTGAATATCTATGCACATATTTATGCATTTGAAATTTCCGTGTTCTCTGAAAACTACTTTCCTCATTCTGCATATTTAGGTACAGGAAGGTTCCACCTGTGCATATCTACCATGGGGTGGTAAGGAACATTCAGTACAGAATTATGAAGTTCTAGTTTTAAAGATGGAATTGACAGAATACATCTGAGCAACAAAATTTACAATAAATATATGCATTTTTATTTTATGAACACCTTTAACGAATGGAGCTGACCAAATGTGTGTATTTTCTTATTTGAAAGAATAAATAATAATTCATAAAGTGGTAACCACAGAAAGTATTTTATTTTTTTATTTGTATATGATACTTGGAAGCATTAGAAATTTCACTGCTTTACATTGGTCGATGCCAATGTACCATTGGAAATAATGCAGACACCGGGTAGATGTTTCTCCCTAGTTCTGGAATCTGTAGTTAAGTGACCTGAAGTGTCGACTTTTGATTGACCTCATGATGGTCGAATTTCATGACAAAGCTATCTGTTCTCAGAAAAGTTAATATATCCATTTGTGATTTGTGGTTTTAGTTTTTTATTGTGATTGATGAAAAAGCTGATGGTTTGTTCAATTCTACCGATCACGGCTTCTGATGAGTTGCAGGAAATTAAGTTTTAAGTCTGTTCCCTAGTGAGTAATTGTTTATTTTGAAATTCACTTATTATTTACGTGCAACTGCATTCTATTAGATCACTGTATCTCAAGCTTCATTACATCTGTCTAATCTTTTATTGTGAAATGAAATCAGAAAACAGAAAGATTGAGCGAAGAAATATTTACTTTTTAATTAGATCCTCATCTCTGGCTCTACTCTAAAATATGTAGCATTTTTATTACAATACACAACAGTTTACCAATCAAGTGGCGATATTTTTGATTGCACACTAGTCAGTAACTGGTGTAATATGTCTAGTCCTATCTTCGCTGCAGACTGAATTGTATCGGTCAAGCTTGCAGTGTGGCCACCATGCTAGGTGGCTCACCATTACGGTGCACTTTGAATTGTTGGTATTAGATGATTGCAGGCAATCGGTCACAAGAAACCTTTGACCTAGGTTTCGTGCTAGTTACCACTCACCAGTCAGCAAGGCGTATCTGCAACTTTGAAGGAACTCATGTCTTTTCTGAGATTCGAACTCTCGTCACTCAGTGAGTACTGCAGTCAGAGGCGTTACCACTGAGATATTCAGGCTCGCAATTGACCTTCTGTAGGACTGTATTGGGTATTTTTGATTGCACACTAGTCAGTAACTAGTGTGTAACGTGTCTAGTCCTATTTTCGCGATATGTTTGTTAACAATAATTAGTCAGTGTCAAAATGTCAATGGGTTGATAATTAAAGAAGAAAATCAATACACACGATTAAAAGGTAGAAATGGATAAAATAAATTAATTTTACAAGGATAACACGTAATTAAAGATGAAATGGTCAGAAAAAAATAAAATCATTTGGACAATTGTAATTTTTATAATTGTCAAGGTTTAGGGGGAGGGGGCGAAGTAGTCCAGTTTATACAGTCATGTAACGATGGCCAAGAAAAATATGAATTCAGGACCTAGGAGAGTCAGTATAGCAACAGTTTCGAAAAACCAATGTTCATAAAACTGCAGTTCCTCGGTGACAACATCAATGAAATAATAACACAGCGCCTAAAGAATGCAGTTAAAATAGCTTATTATGCAGCAGAGGTACGTTGTCTCTTCATAATCACCCCTGTTCGACGTTCGAGAAATAAGGATAAACTACCTACATTTGCCTCTTCTATATGTATTTACCAGTTTGACTACTGCTGCGGAGCCAGCTACATTCGGTGTACAATTAGGCAGGTTCATCATCGTATTTCCGAACACCATCCAACATGGTTAAGCAAGGGACAAACAGCATCTATTCGTAGCTATATTTTAGCACACCTTGTAGATACTGAACATAAGGTTGATGTTAATACAGCATTTAAAATTATCTATCGCATTCCTACTAATCTTAATTTTGCTCTCCGAGTTCGTCTTCTACGGACAGCTGAAGCGATAGGAATCCACTTGAAGAAGCCAAACTTGTGTGTTCAGAAAAAACTTGTACAGCCACTTTCCTTACCTTGGCCATCGTTACATGACTGTATAAACCGGACTACTTCGCCCCCTCCCCCTAAACCTTTCAAGTTATAAAAATTATAATTGTCCAAATTATTTTATTTTTTCTGACCATTTCATCTTTAATTACGTGTTATCCTTGTAAAATTAATTTATTCTAACCATTTCTGCCTTTTAAATGTGCATTGATTTCCATCGTTTATTATCAACCCATTGATATTTTGACACTGACTAATTATTGTTAACAAACATATCGCCACTTGATTGGTAAACTCTTGTGTATTGTAATAAAAATGCTATAGGTGTATATTAGAGTAGAGCCAGAGATGAGGATCTAATTGAAAAGTAAATATTTCTTCGCTCAATCTTTCTGTTTTCTAAATGTCTAAATGGGGATTTTTTCTATATTGAAATGAATTCATCTAAATGCGGGATAATCAGAACACGGTTTACTAATATATGAGTTCCCCTGAGACAAATACTACTGTTTTAAGCATAAACAAATGATGCAGTAACGAAAACCCGTGTCACAAAAGGAATTAAACACATAATTAAGATGTGATGTGATAGATGCATCGTGTTTATAATCAAAGTTCGATGATGGTATGTATCGGGAAATAACCATGTCACATTTACTTTCCTCATCTGATCTAAGAGCAGAATGTGCGTTTATAGTCTGTTCATCATTCGAATCTTTTCTTATGAGGGATGATTGATGGGAAAATATCGACTAGTATTCTTAGAAAACAGCTTTTTTTAAAATATTAGGCATTGCAGTCAATTTAGCCATCGAAATTGTCTCGAATATTTTTCCTGAAAGAACTTTATATCAGTTAGTTATTCAGTCCTTTATCAACACATTCAATCGAAAAGACAGATGAATGCAATATTCAAGCTTTTGTAATGTGGGAACATAGAAGTAGAATTATTTATTTTTTGAAATGACCTACAGATATAGCAGAATGTCTGATTTCCCACAAACTGGAAGATATGCAAGCGAAAAGCAACAAGTTGGCAGAAGAAGCATCAAAGATGGAATGGACTTCAGGTGAACATAGAGAAAACAGAGGTGATGAAGATTCCTGGCCAACACCACCAACAGCAACAACAGACAACAATCAGCATAAATGGGAGGAACCTGAAAGAAACAACCTCCTTAACTACCCACCTGGGAAGCATCGTTTCAACTACAGGAGAACGGAACTGACGAGGATATCAAAGCAAGAATGGGAAAAGCAAGACAAGCTTTCATTACTCTCAAGTCTGTGTGGAGGTCAACAGCACTCAGCATCAAAAATAAGATCCGGATTTTCAACTCCAATGTGAAGTCAGTGCTACTTAACATACGGATCAGAGACTTGCCCTGCGCGTCATAAAGAGCATCTCGAACACACTACAGACCTTCATTAACAGTTGTCTTCGCTCAATACTCAAGATCCGATGGCCAGAAAAGATCAGCAACAAGGATCTCTGACAATGAGCGAACCAACCAGGAACCGATTGTGAAACAAATAGGCAGGAAGAAATGGAGATGGATTGGACATACTCTGAGGAAACCATCAAGTGACATCACTAGACAAGCCATCGCTCGAGTGGAACCCGAAAGGGAAGCGGCGAGTTGGTCGTCAGTGCGAGGGTGGGGTGACATGGAGGAGGTCATGTGAAGAGGAGATGAAAACGTGTGGGCAGACTTGGAGCCAGGTGAAGACTCTAGCAGAGAACCGAACGCAATGGAGACGCACGGCTGAAGCCCTATATTCCTCTAGGAATTAAAGGATACAATAATAATAATAATATAGCAGAATGCAGTACCCTCAAAGTAAAATCGCCATTTGTACATTTTGTTCATATTGTACTTCTTTTGTCATCTTTCCATGCTTTCTGTGCTGCTTCACAAAGATCTTTATTCAGTCCCTCTGTTATTCAGTACTTTTGTAGAAGACATCGCATACAACATACTACCTACACAGTTTTATCAGTAGCTGACACCATACCTTGGATTATTTTCTGAAAGAATTTGTAGACGATGACTATTTGGAAACACTCCTCAGCATACACACTTAACGAGAAAGATTGCTGCATCCAACATTTAAGACTTCGGTTGTATTTCATATTTCATGACTCATACTTCATACTGTACAGTCTGCTACAGATGTCGGTGATAGGTAATAAAAGTGTAATAGCTATCAGTGCAAGTCAACATGACATAACAAAAAATAATTCAAGTTATTCCTCATAATAACATCCATTTCCCTTTGGAAAATGTTATAATTAGGTAAGTGATCAAATCAAAACTCTGATACGTGGATGAAAATTGTATTTCACAAGAGAATGAAACTATTTAGTGCCATTTAACTTCCATACAAGTATTTCAAATTCATCTACTGTATACTCTGTTCCACCCCATGACATATAGGCGCACTTGTGACCTTCAACAGCCTATAAGAGAGTCAAATACACGTGGGTGAATTATTACAAACAACTTTAAATGACAAATATATTATAATTTATATTCGATCACAAAATGACATGAGTTAGAAAACCACATTGAGAAGCAGAGAGTACTGGACAGGTATTTTTGGTTCCAGTTTGGGATACTTATGTAGTACACTTACATGAAACCACTGGAGACGGTGTCAAGAGCCTTCAGGTTATCAGGCGAACACGTTGATTGCTCAGCTGCTGCTATTTAACCCAATGGTGTATGAATTCTATTTCCTGTTAATTCGTGATAAACAGTGAAGCACTAACCAATGTCATTTTTTGACAACACTTGAAAGTTTTCAAGTATTGGTTTTGTAGGGATTTTGTTTGACTGGATGAAGGATTTCATCATGAGCTGACATCAGTTAGAGAACCACTCGAAAACCTGCAAGGAGTACTGGACAGCCAACTGTTTCCTCCGTCCTAGTTTGCGACTCTTCAACAGTATACACCCACCACCAGGGTTCCAACCTAGGACGTTCTGGTTACAAGGCCAGCTAGCTTTTAGACCATTAAGCCACCTGGACCCAGTCCAATCGTCCTTGAATTGTAACTTCTGCCAATTCATAGCGCGACCACTTTGCAATGTCTTCATCGATGAGTTACTGCCTCATCTTTAACCTGCTGTACCCTACTGGTCACGGCTTCCCACTAGAACCCCAAGTTAACTGCCTGAATAGAGCCAGTCGCTAGTGAGCATCAAAAGGTCCTTGGTTCGAACCCCGGTGAGTGCGTACTGATGAAGGGTCCCAAACTAGAGCAGAGGAAACAGCTGTCCAGTACTCCTTGAAGGTTTTCCAGTGGTTCTCTAACTGATGTCAGCTCATGATGAAATCCTCCATGCAAACCCTTGAAAGTGTTTTGATGAGATAGTTAAATGTCATTTGTCTTAAAAAATCGTATCCAGAGAAAACATCTGAGAGGCTGTGTGTTTCACAGATCTGTTTTCTCTGTCGATTGCCTTTGTTTTCAATTATTGCAAATAATTTAGTGGTAATACATTTGACCATTCTCCCTACTACTGGACAACATTATGGTAAAATCAGTTTGATCAAGTGGAAGGGGGTGTGTTGCTTGCTGATAATTTTGAGGAAGCGGAAAAATATTGTCAGAGGATCTTACATGTCCGCTATTTGCCATTGTCACCTACAAAATAGAGTGTTGTGGCAAGGAAAAACGTTTTTTTTACGAGGAAGTCAACAAATAGTCTGTACATTCATGAATGTATAACACAGAGGTGAAACAGTCTTATAAACATTTCTTCCCACAAGAGGTCAAAATATAACGACTAACAAGATGAAGTTGTGTAAAGCGAAATCTGATTAGAAACACATTAATATGAGAAGTAAATCGGAGGTGTATACAAAAACTTAATAGGTCGATAATAACGATAATAACACTGAGATTCTTGAAGCGAATCCGATCCCTACAACCAAACACCTGAAAACTAATCTGTAGGTCACTGTGGCTAACTGAGGGATGGAGTTAATGGAGTTGTAGTGAGAAATCCTCGGCATTGAAGTCGACTAGATCGTGTTTGAATACAAATACTCACCAATGGCATTGGCTTGTGGTGACAATATGTGTTACGAAATGGCAGAAGTAAGAATTCAAGAGCTATTGGATTTCTGTTGGTCATTAAAATGGCTTTATGAGTATGAATCTAACATCCATAAGCCAACAAAACCCATATCAATAATTTGCTAATCATTTTTACATTTAAGCGTTAATGATAAGTAAGTTCATTTCATACAGCATGTTTGCTTACCTTTCCAGAACACACATCTTCCTGAACTATTCCCCTGGCAATAAAAACTGACTTCCCATCTTTGGTTACTCCAGCTAAAATAGCATCTGCTGGATACTCATCACCAGTGCACTTCACCCACTCATATCTAGAGGAAATAAAATAAATTAGGGTGACATTTTAGGTGGAAGTAAACGGTAGCAACATAATACAAGGCGCATCACTTTTCCTTATTGTTTCAATGACGAGTTTTACACAATCACGATGCTGTTAAGCGTGGCAGGTGGAGGAAACAACTTTCTTTAAATTTCTTCTGTTGATAAGGTTTGGTGCTTGTTGTTACTGGTTTAATATCTTCATCACGTCTACCGACTCTATCTTCACCTAGAGTTGTTTCTTCACTATTTCAGCCACCTTTTTTGTTTTAGCCTGTAGGTCTTCAGGTTTGTGTGACATTAGACATAAATTGTCCGCAAAATTCAAATTTTCCATCTTTCTTTTCATTGGTCCAACGTGTGCCTGTCCACTCGCCCCCCACTGTGCAGTCCAGCACATTCAGAAATATCGTTCGTCACAGTACACAGTCTTATCATACTCCTGTGTTCACTGAAAAGGATTCATTGAGTTTTACACTGTGAATTACTTGACATATGGCATCATCAGGTACCTGTTGAATTAGGTTTATAATGGCTTGGGCACTCTGTAGTGTGTTAAAGCAGCTGCCAAATTACTTCTTAGTCAACGCTATCGAAGGCCTTCTCTAATTTGGTGAAGCTGACTACTATTCTAGACTGTGTTCATTGATGATAACTCCAAGATGGTGCTGCTTAACACTTCTGTTGGAGTCGGGCGGAGCATGACTCCGTACCAGCCTCAGCGAGATTCATTTTACCCTTCTTTGGTAGCTCGATAAGATGGACCTTGTTCCCCTCAGTAGATAGCTTTCCTTCATTCCGAACCTACAACAGCGGCGTGAGGATATCAGCTGAGGTCTCTGGATCAGCTTTTAGTGCTCGTGGAGGAATTCCATATGGTCCTGCTGTCTTTCCGGCCCTCGGTAACTCCATAGCATTCAGGACTTCTACTCTTATTAGAGGACTGGTATTCATCTACAGTTCTGTGTCTGCTGCTGGTGATATTTCTAGATCATTTGCAAGTGGTGGTTGATTCAAGAGTTCTTTGAACTAATAAACCCAGCATTTCCTTTGTTTAACCACTTTGACAGTCAGGTTTATTTTACTATCTTTCACTGGCTTCATTTGCGTTGACCTCTTACCGTAGGGTGAACTGGTTTTTTGATATAATATTATGAGATCTCTCCTATCTGCATCATCTCCTACTTCGTCATTATACTCTCCTCTATCCTCTTCCATGTATCTTTCTGACGTAAATTAAATCCAGTGTGTACAACCGACTGATGCTTTTGACATTCAGACCATGTATTTTTATCGCATTCTATGCTATTGAACTCGTACACTTAAAAAAGGAAATATATAATACCAATACATGGTTAGCAATTAAATCTAACACATCAAGAAAGTTTCATTTGATAGAATTTTTTATTTTTTTATTTATTTTTTTATTACAGCTTGATTCCACAGAGTATTTTCGGTACAAGTATGGAATTTTCAGCACGTGATATCGGTAGCCCAAATTTTGCAGGCCAACCATTGATATCAGGTGTGTGTCGGCAGCGGATCGAACCCCGGACCATGTGCGTGGTCGGCGAGAGTCCGAACCACTGGGCCACCGACGCACATTATGTCAGAGTGAAGCAGACATTATTAACCAGGCATAGAGTAATCGTATGCATGACGCAAAAACAATTACTATCTACAATAGATTGCTATTAACTGAGAAACTGTGTTACATCTCGCAACAGACAGACAGAATATTATGTACAACGAATAGACGTATGCAAGTTAGAAACATGCTTGAAAAAAGGAATTGAGCACAAATGCGTATATTTATTTAAAATGGTCTATGGTAGCTCCACTATTCTAATATACATATATAATATTTTAAACCATACAATACGTGAAAATACGATTCAATGCAGTAAGAAGTTTTGCTGCACATTGATAATTCAGTCGACACATTTTTTACCACAAAAGGCAAGTGTAAACTACTTGGTCCTATCTCTTTTATGAGTATTGAGTGGTTCAACTTCTCTTTTACAGCCATGAGGACTACAAAGTGTAGAATTTAGCATATTCATAGCTTTATTTCTTAATATCATTCTGCATTATTGAGTGAGGAACGAATAGAGTCTATACATAGGTCTATTCTGGCTTAAATTTGTCGACATTAAGTATACAACTGTCACTAACATATTTTCCAAAGACTTCATTTTCTATCTCACTTGGTCTTAAGATTATAGATTCGTCCATTGCAAATAACAGAAGAAGTTTTATCGCGTCCAACTTTAAGGGTTCCGAAGCAATTCATACTGCCTCATTTTCTACCATCGTACAAACTTTGTACTATTCAATAATCTTCCATAGCTTTACTGTGTAGTCTTTACTTTCATTTAATTATCACTCTAGTATTGTTAGTTAAATTTAACCCATTTGACATCTTGCTATTGGCAAATTATTGATAATTAATGTAAGATCAATCACCGACCTCATTCAGCAGCTATATGACAATGCCACATGTCAGTCGGGTGACCCATAATAGGAAACTCAGCGAGGCGTTTAAAGTGAGTTCAGGAGTAAGACAAGCTGGCTGCCTATTATCACCGATGATATTCTTAATTGTGGTCGACTGGATTATGCTTCAGACAGTGCGTGGGAAGCGAGGAGACAGGAATACGCTCGACCACCGACAAGAAGACTCTAGAAGATCTGGATTTCGCAGATGATATATGTCTAAAATCACATACACACACACAAACTCGAAGATTGGCAGGCGAAAAACAACAAACTGGCTGGAGGGCCTGGTTACGAAGACAAGATCCCAGGTAAACACAGAGAAAACGGAGGTGATGAAGATAATCAATGAACTGCAACACCAACGACAACAACAACTAGCATCAGCCATCATCAGCGGGAGAGATTTAACAGAGGTTGCCTCCTTCATTTGTCTAGGAAGCATCGTTTCAACTACAGGTAGTCGGAACGGATGAAAATGTCAAAGCCATCCAGCCAGCCAGCCAGAATCGGAAAGGCAAGATACTCCTCCATCAACCTGAAACCAGTTTGGAAATCCTCTGCACTGTATGGCATAAGTAACAAGATTCGGATTCCGTTCAACACATATGTGAAGTCAGTCAGTCAGTGACTTCTTCTATACGGGTCAGAAGATTGACATGCGTGTCACGGAAAGGATTTGCAACAGGGTGCAGACTTTCATTAACAGCTGCCTTCGTTGTCTCCATATTGAGGATCAAATGGCGAGCAGGCCAGAGAGAATTAGCAGCAAGGAACTCTGACTGGCGACGAACCAACCAAGAGACGATCGCTCAACAAATATGCAGGATAAAATGGAGATGAATTGGGCATACATTGAGGAAGCCGTCGAATGACATCGCACTTCAGGCCATGGCTCGAGTGGAATCCCAATGGGAAGCAACGAAGGGGTTGTCCTAAGGTGACACGGAGATCATATGGGGAGTAGATGAGAGATTAGGGGCAATCGTGTGGCTAGCCAGCTGAAGAGAACGGCAGAGAATAGAACAAACTGGAGATGTGTTGTTGAAGCCCTATGTTCTACCCGGAACCCATGTGAATAATAACAGTAATAATTTAGGTCCACTGGTTTCTTAAATTCTGTGTTAAATATTCAGATGAGGCTGTTGACGAGAAAATTATTGGTAAAAAGAACTTTATTTACCGCCCACTTTGTTGTTTCTCTTAAAAACGAAAACAGTTATAAACCTCTCAAAATAACTTCTTACCCTTTAATGTACGGATCGACTGATGTATCACACAATACTTCATATTTTGAAAACGACAGTTCTCTACCATCGTATGGGCAGTAACACTTCTTATTTTCAGGTATAAGTTTTCCAGGAATATATTCATCTCCATGTTTACACCGTGCCACAAAAACATCCTTATCAACAAAAATAGCATTGGATGGATATTCCCCATTTTTTTGCGGAATCCATGAGATTGAAATTTGTATACCTTGACCAATTCTAGACATTAATGGTAGTGTGTTTTTATTCAAGAAGGCAGTGTATCTTGAAACTGGTTTGTAGTACTGAATACTCCTCTCTGGCAAACAAAGAAAAGTTATAATAAGAAGGCTATAATTTCTGATAATATTTAAATATGTTAAATCTTTTAATAAGACTTATCGTGAAAATAGATGTAAACTCTGTCATGATGTAGATACATGAAATCACTATGGAAACGAGAATGGAGAATTTCAAAATTAGGTGGTCTCTGCTAGCAAGCAAGTACTTCACATTTCATCAACTTCTTGGAATATCCTGTTGAATGGCTATTTAAAAGTTGTAAAATTTCTTCTTCGATGGTAATTTTCAACTGTCAAATATTTTCGCAACATACATGGCACCTATCAGCATATTCAAACTGAACGGTGTGTGTGTGTGTGTGCGCGCGCGCGCGCTAGTTCTCATTTCGTTTATAAATGAATCCATTTCAGTGTTTGAAATTAAAGATACTGTCTACGTTTCAATTTGCTTCCTACTTTACTTTTTGCACTGAAGACTTATAGGATAACGTCTATAACTTACTCCTTGTGTGGGTTATGCATAAATCCAACTAACTCTTCAAAATAATTTAATATTATGGATGTTGTTTCGTGATGGAAAATCGTTTGGTGTACTGCATCTAGTTCGCAGATGTGTACAATCCCTTCACCTCACCAGGATTGAGGTGGATTTTTAACAATGTAATGGCATCGTGAGGTAATTATACATAAAAATCTACAGAATAATTCGTTTCAGTGGAATCATTTACCTAGTTTCTTATTTTAGAAATTTACTGTGTTACATACATGACATAAGCATAGGAAACAAGAGGATGAAATTAGGTAAGGTTGTTCTACATTAAGAAACGTTAGAAAATGTAGACTCGGTATTTCAGTGTAGCCAAATTATGTTCATTTTATCTTCAGTGCACCATTTGCACAGACCTATCGTGTTGTGGTACTTCGGGAGTTCATGTTGTGTCTCTTTACGTTCCTTTCACGTTTCCCATGTATTTACACAAGGCTGTATCATTTGCCTTCTCTGAAATCAAATGTATCTATTTGCTATTTGATCTTTTTATGCCAGTATTATTATTATTGTTTCCTTTAATTCCTAGAGGAACATAGGGCTTCAGTCGCGCGTCTCCATTGCGTTCGGTTCTCTGCTAGAGTCTTCACCTGGCTCCAAGTCTGCCCACACGCTTTTATCTCCTCTTCACATGACCTCCTCCAAGTCACCCTCACACTGACGACCAACTCGCCACTTCCCATTCAGGTTCCACTCGAGCAATGGCTTGTCTAGTGATGTCACTTGATGGTTTCCTCAGAGTATGGCCAATCCATCTCCATTTCTTCCTGCCTATTTGTTTCACAATCGGTTCCTGCTGGGTTGGTTCGCTCATTGCCAGAGATCCTTGTTGCTGATCTTTTCTGGCCGGCCATCTGATCTTGAGCAGTATTGAGCGAAGACAACTGTTAATGAATGTCTGTAGTTTGATTGAGATGCTCTTTATGACTCGCAGTGCAAGTCTCTGATCCGTATAGTAAGTAGCACTGACTGACTTCACATTGGAGTTAAAAATCCGGATGTTATTTTTGATGCTGAGTGCTGTTGACCTCCACACAGACTTGAGAGTAGTGAAAGCTTGTCTTACTTTCCCTGATTCTTGCTTTGATATCCTCGTCAGTTCCGTTCACCTGTAGTTGAAACGATGTTTCCCAGGTAGGTAAAGAGGTTGTTTCTTTCAGGTTCCTTCCATTTATGCTGATCGTTGTCTGTTGTTGTTGTTGCTGTTGGTGGTGTTGCCCAGGAATCTTCATCACCTCTGTTTTCTCTATGTTCACCTGAAGTCCCTCCTATCTTTGATGCTTCTTCCACTGTCAACTTGTTGCTTTTCGCTTGCATATCTTCCAGTTTGTGGGAAATCAGACATATATAATTGGCGAAATCTAGATCCTCCAAGTTTTTTGTGTGAGTCCGTTTTATGTCTGTTTCCTCATTGCCCGTTGTTTGTCGCATTATCCAATCTACTGCAATCAGGAAAATCATTGGCGATAGTAGGCAACCTTGTCTTACTCCTGTCCTCACTTCAAAGGATTTCGTAAGTTTCCCGTTGTGGATTACTTGGCATGCAGCACTGTCGTACAGCTGTTGGATGAGATGTATAATTGTCGGTGCCACCGTGTAGTAGCGAAGTAGTTTCCAAAGCACCTCTCGATCGACGCTGTCGAAGGCGTTTTCAAAGTCAATGAAGTTGAGATAGAGAGGTGACTGCCATTCCAAGCTTTGTTCAATGATGATCCGTAATGTGGCGATCTGAATGAATGTCTCTTTATATACTACTGATAAATCTTATCAGTAGCGCTTACCGCATTACCGCTGAAACAGTGAATGCGAGGATACACAACTCGCAAATAGATCAAGCATAAGTATTTGGAGAAATACGGCTTTAATATTATTGTGAATTAAAGAAACAATACAAGCCTACAATCCCTGGAAACTTTATATTAGATGCTTTTGTGAGGGAAAGATTTACTAATCAAAACGTCATCTTCAACGGTTGCTTTTTTTTCATCAGACCTCAGTTGCATAGCAGTTACGTAAGCTGCTATCGAATAATAACTAATAGGGGATTTCACTTTGCATATTGTAATCTAGATTGATGAAAATACTGATTCTTATACTTATTTAAAGAATCAAAATAAGTCAGACATACTTCACTGGCTTATAAATACTACTGCACACGCTACAGTTGTGCCTCTAGGCTTATTGACTAGTTTGGATGAGTGGTCTATATATCCTGATAAATGCACCTATCATGAAATAGACAAAATCTTGCAATCAAGTGAGAGATTTCCTAATATTTAACTATGCATATAAGTGGAAGAAACTGTTATTCGAATACACACTGAAATAGCTGAAGAAAAAACCGTAAATTTTCCACAAACAATAAGCTTCGCATTCATAGTTTCAAAGTTAATGTACAGTTGAGATAAAATATACTTTTTCATAGACACTACTAATTTTTGCTATAGACATGCAAATAATGTAATCGATTCCTAATCACATCCGTGACTGGAAGTTTTATCGAGTAATGTTAGCCTTGGATCAATCATCTCAGTATAGATTGAGGACCTCAACAAATAGTCAGAGTGGTCCATAGAATGGATGCTCCCGATCAATGTGGCAAAATGTGCAACCATGTGCATTGGACAAGCAAGCACGAGCTTTTATGAACTAGAGGAAATAACACTTCCATCAGTTCAGACTTACTTGGACTTAGGTGTCATAGTTAGCCACGACTTAAAAACTATAACACACTGTCACGCGGTGGCTGCACGTAGTTTCAGGTCCTTATGGGCAATTCGCAGAGCCTTCACTAGAATCACCAGAGATATGTTCACCTCCTTATATACATCTCTGGTGAAATCAAGACTGGAAAACTGCATCCAGGCTGCCAGTCCTTGTCTAAAAGGGGACTCACACATTCTAGAAAGGGTTCAAAGGAAGGCAACACGTATGGTTCATGGCATGACTAACTTATCATACGAGGAAAGACTAGACAGTTTAAATCTCTTCTCCCTGTCATACTGTAGGCAGAGAGGAGATTTAATCACAATGTTTAAAATTTTAAATAATGACTATGGACCTGACCTATTCTCTCTTTTCCTTCCTACACCTTGGAGGACATAGCAGAAGAGTTCAAAAGCCAAGAAGAAATCATATTGCTGTTGAGTACTGGTTCTCATACCGAGTCATAAACTCTTGGAACCGACTCTCAGAAGAGGTGGTGTCTGCAACCTCAACTGATTCGTTCAAGAAGGGTTTGGACAACCATAGAAATTTACTAGAAAAGGATTAACATAGGCTCCAAGCCTTCTATCCTCAACCAATAAATCTGAATCTGAAATCTGATCAGTTGTTTTGTAGAGTATTTGTTTTATGTCACATTCAGTATTTGTAGCAGTGTTAAATGCGAGTTTGTCATGCTACTTGGATTGCTGTAGTGGTTTTCAAAGTGAACATTTTACTTATGGTAAAATTCACTTTTTTACTCTATTGTTCAGTGAAGAACTAAAGAATTCTCTCCTTCTCTACAAACACATAACAACCGATCAAACTAAAATTTAAATAGGATAATTTCACTGTCATCGTACGCGTGAACTCGATTCATTTCCGATCTTGATTTTCAAACAGTCATACATTTCACCTCATACTTCACATAAACATTAGATGGATAAACTTTGTCTTGATGGAATGTTTTGCAAACTCATTGAGAAGAGAAGCTCTTCGTGGTGACAGACAATGCATAGTAGTGTAAAATTCATGTCATGTTATTACTTTATCGGTTTATGTGTTGATCACTGGACGTTCAACGATTTCCAACAAGATAGTGTCAATCTTTGCCAGTCATTTTATAAGAATGATGAATATTTTAGGATGAAACTATCTGAAATCAATTTGTGGTAGGAATACGAACCAATGAGAATGCGTGTAGTCGAAAGGTGATTCGTAAAAATGTTGTTATCTAATTAGTTTGTTTGATTGGATGGAGGATTTCATCATGAGATGACATCAGTTAGAGAACCACTGGAAAACCTGCAAGGAGCACTGGACAGCCAGCTGTTTCCTCCGTCCTAGTTTGGGACTCTTCAGCAGTACGTTGATGTCAGCTCATGATGAAATCCTCCATTCAATCAAACAAAATCCCTACAAAACCAATACTTGAAAATTAATCTGATGCTCACTAGCGACTGGCTCTATTCAGGCAGTGACCTGGAGTTCTAGCAGGAAGCCATGACCAGTAGGCTACAGCAGGTTCAAGGTGAAGCAGTAACTCATGGAAGAAGATATTGCGAAGTGGTCGCAACATGCTCAAATAAAGCTTCACAATGGATTTTTTTAAGAGAATTCTTTATATAACGGTGATTTATTGATTTTTGTTTTATCAGAATTTACTGAAGTTTTGGTTAACTTTTATTTTCTATAGTTAAGTTTCTAAGAGTTAGTTTTGTTTTCTACAAGTTGATCACGGATTGATATCAGTTAGAAAACCATTGAAAACCAAGGAGTACTGGACAGTTGTTTCATCCTAGTTTGGGAATCATCGGAAGTACGCACCCACTGGGATTCGAACCCAGGACCTTCCGGTCATAAGGCGAGCTCATATGCCATTCAGCCACTGGGACCCGATTCAATGGCCAGTCCATGAATTCTAACTTATACCAATTCGTGATTTAGCGCTACCCCAACCAACGTCGTCGGTGGGACATCCATTCTCACATGTGACATCTAACTGGACCTCACTGGTCACGACTTCTCACTAGAACTCCAGGAAACTCCATTCTATAGCCAGTCACTACCGAGCATCATATTAATTTTCTATAGTTTGGTTTGTAAGGGTTAGTTTTGTTTTTTACGAGTTGATCACGGATTGATATCAGTTAGAATTCATGAGCCGTTTAATCGGGTCCCAGTGGCTGAGTAGTATACGAGCTTGCCTTGAAATCGGGAGGTCTTGGGTTCGAATCCCAGTGGGTGCGTACTTCCAGTGATTCCCAAACTAGGATGAAACGGCTGTACAGTACTCCAGTGCTGGTTTTCAATGGTTCTCTAACTTTTATATGAATTTATTGTAGATGAATGTCTTCATGGGTTCAACTTTACTGTCGTCTGAATAATTTATTTCTGTCGACAAAATGAACTTTAAACTGTGCCTTTGATGGAAACAGTGGATTATATATATATATATATTATACAGAGAAAGAGTGAATATTGTATCTATGTCTTCAATAAAGTAGCCTTTTTTAAGATGCACAGTGCATGGAAATTTTTTGTTCAGTAAAGAATTGGTGTTGTTATGGGTTGACCACTAGATCTGATCCTAGTGAAGCTACAGAATGACCCTGTCATTGCTGTGGTGAATTATTTTGATTTCTGTTGTAGTTATGTTGATGATACATTTATAATTTTAAGGAATAGAAGTGAGGTGAAGTGCCCAACGGGGAAATTCAATAAAAACAAAACACATTCAGCCATAATATTTACCAAAAAAAGAAAAAGAAGAATGAAAAGAGAATGACTCAATCTCATTTTTGTTCTAATGATAAAATGAGCAGACGGAACAGTAAGTAGGAGCTTGCACTGTAAATCTACATCAACTGGGCAGAATACTCACTTTCTGAGTTTCGTTCGTTCGGAGTACTAACGAAATCCGGCTGAATAAACGTTTAGTTAACTATGCTAGCGTTATTTGTTTGGGTGATGAATCATTCAACGAAGAACTTGGTAATACTCGTAATCTGATAACTAGAAATGGATATCCTATGACATTTTTTGAATTAAAAAACAATGGATTTAACAAGCAATTTATTGTTTTATCTAAATGTGTAAGCGGGAATATTTTTAAATTAGTAATTCATTTAGGTCAGTATAATGGTGAACTTTGAGTATATGCAAGGTAAGAGATTATAATCAATCTATAATATAAATTACACAAGAGAGTTTTACTCACCCCAGTTGATAAATAATCTATGAAAATTCTGCTATTATTGTGCATTCAAACCAGGTTGTAGACATTAACGTGGCTGAAACAATGTGATTTAGACTGTGGTTTGCATAAAATACTTAATGACTGAAGTTATTATTGGTTTAGTGAATTCGTAAGTTCATATTGTAATGGTATAAAACTTCTCTGCAATAACCAGTACTAATTGATTTATTCAGATCAATACATGTGAAGTACTAAGGTGTGTCTGTTCATCGCTTCTATCTATACATAATATAGTGAGTCTGTGCAACTACTTAGTGGTTGATTCACGTGACGAAAATGTGTAATCATACAGACAGACAGACCAGAATTTGGTGAAATGCGGTATGATTACTCACAGAAGATTCAAGTAAACAATCATAGATGGATGATTATAGAGATTATTCCAGCAACTAGAGTTTACACCCACATTTTAAACCAGTTGGTATTATGTGCTTCGTACATGATAGCCTTTGAAATAATAGAGAAGATTTGTAGCTCAGGTGGATGATTTGCAATTAGTTGTGTTCTCTGAGCTGGTTGATTTAATTGCAAAGCTTTCGGCGTTCTTCTGGACAACATCTTCAGCGCAAGTTTTGGCATAAAACCAACTGATTTATATTCTCCAAGTCAATAAAAATGACCAGTACAAATGTAAATCAACTACCAGTTACGAAGATGGTTGCCGAGGGACAATTCTCTCATTCACAGAGAATTTAAATCAGTTCATTTTATGCCAAAACTTGCGCTGAACATGTTGTCTAGAATGACAACGAAACCTTCCCAGTTAAACCAACTACCTCAGAGAACACCGCTAATTGCCTATGATAGCTTTGCTTGCACCAATGGGATATCCAATAACCATAAGAAGTAGATTTTTTAGAATGTACTTTAAAGCAGTTCACCTAGGAGTCAGCAGAATTTAGCGGAGGTCTTATTATTGATGATAGACATTCCTTTTCGAGATTGTCAAAGTTTAGCATTGTAAAACCTTTTAAAAACCTTAAAAATTTGGTTTCCCATATATAAAGTTAGTTTACTTTTAGCGTTACTTATTTCTCTTTCAGATTTTTCAAAACTGTTTGAGGGATCGCCAAAATATGAATGCTAAATTTGCTCATTTTTATTTGACAGTAATAATTTAGCTTTGCTGAATTTTAAATGAATAGGAATGATTACACGAGATCTATGAAAAAGGCCTGAAATCATCCAAAAAGCATTGGGTATCTAGGAATACAAGATAAGCGTTCCTTTTTAGTTAAGATCTTTTCAGTAGTGTGCACCAGTGATTTATTTTATAAGGAAGGTTTCCACAGCCTTCTGGATAATGGACAGAGTGTGTCAACGGTTCACTGGCGAAATGCTGGCCATCCACACATGTGGTTCTAGCTGGACTCAGGACCGACATATAACCAAATCTAGCTTAGCTAGTAGTAAGACCAATAAAGTGGGAAAGTTTTGAGTGAAGTAAGCAACCCCCGTTCCCTAAAATCAACACCAGTGCTAGTGAAACGTCAAAGCTGAAACTTGAAGCCCTCTGTTCCACTTGGAACGCAAAGGAATAAAAATGATTTCGTGTCTATTCGCGAAAAATTCTTTTCAGTCTATTGGAGATGAAAGGCTGTTGTTGGTAAGTCACCGAAGGTGTTAGGTAACAAGCTCTGTTACTGATTTGAATACCAATTTTAGGTTAAAAGGAATAAAATTATAGGTTTTCTCAACTAAACTCAAAACAAGGTACAGCAGGTTGAAGATGAGGCAGTAACTCATCGAAGAAGACATTGCGAAATGGTCACGCTATGTCGTGAATTGGCAGAAGTTAGAATTCAAGGACCATTGGATTGGGTCTCAGTGGTTCAGTGGTCTACGAGATCGCCTTGTAACCAGAAGGTCCTGGGTTCGAACCCTAGTGGTGGGTGCGTACTTATGAAGAGTCCCAAACTAGGACGGAGGAAACAGCTGGCTGTCCAGTACTCCTTGCAGGTTTTCCAGTGGTTCTCTAACTGATGTCAGCTCATGGTGAAATCCTCCATGCAATTAAACTCAAAACCTGAAAGCTTGTTGTATATCAAAGGACTAATCAACACAGTACAGTAACATCTCATCAATATTTTAATAGGTGGAGAAGATTTGATGCTTTTGAGATTCAGAAGTTAGTGCTGAGGATATTGCCTAAATGGGCAAAGAAAGATTCGAGTTTAAATATCATCTACCTTACAGCGTTATACATCACTGAGAAAAGTGTCGCTCGGTGATGAGATCAACTGGTTTCACTAGTGGTTGACTCCTACTAGAACTATAGCTCATCATTCATTCTTTTTACACTTACATTGTTAGCCATTCATGTAACAAATTAGTTTGATACAGTTTCATTCTAAAATATTCATTTTTATGAAATAAATAGCAGTGGGTAATGTAATAGTGTAACAACAGAAGACAAGGGCCAGGCAACAGATTGTTTATTTAGGAAATCAACAGATATTTATAGATTTTCATGTACATTATTATACATTATTGTTAGCAGAAAACACAGTCTTCTTATTGGTGATTTCTCGCTGAACGTTAATCCTTCATTTCTTTGTGGCCGCTTTTTGAAGTTCAGATTATCCATCTGCATATTGTGTCTGCCTACGCAAAGTCTGCTGTGATTGGTTGTTGAGTCAGTCTTTGTTCTTATTTTTCTCACGACCAATATTGGTAGAGAAGGACGGAATGCTTTATCCCTCATTTATGACTGATGACTTAGAAAGGATTTTTCCTCTTACTGAGCTTTTATGGATCATATTTCCTTGAAAATTTATGAATATCTTCCTTATTGTTTCAAAAAATAGTTGCTTCGGATAATTATTAATTTAACTTAGAAATTATTATTATTCCCTTGCGTTCCCAGTTGAACATAGGGCTTCAACAACAAATCTCCAGTTTGTTCTGTTCTCTGCCGTCCTCTTCAGCTGGCCAGCCACACAACTGCCCATAATCTCTCATCTCCTCCTCACACGATCTCTTCCATGTCACCGTAGGACGACCCACTCGTCGCTTCCCATTGGGATTCCACTCGAGCAATGGCCTGCACTGCATGCGATGTCATTCAGCTTGGAATAATTATTAATTCAGCTTGAAAATAGCTTACTTTAATCACACAGCATTTTCGTCATTATTAGTTATCCGACTTAAAAAAGTGACTTAACTCAGTTACTATTATTATTTGAGGTGATGATTGCATAATCTGCCTGCAGCATACTTCTTAGTTGTGTTAAAATGGATTTCTTCATATTTTTATTAAATTATTTTTACACTTGAGATAAAGCTCTTTAAAACTATGTTCCAATAAAATAACATCTTTTTAATTAGGCTACATTTTACGCGAGAAATAGATTCCCACTTTAAGTTCGATCACAAACTGACTTCACTTAAAAAACCACTGAAAACCAGGGAGTACTGGACAGCTGTTTCATCCTTGTTTGGGACTCTTCAGCACTACGCACCGACGACCTTATTTAGGATCGAACCGTAGACCTTTCGTTTACAGGGCGCTCCTTTTGATCACTGATACATTGAGGCAGAATTGAATGGCCCAAGAATTCTAACTTCTGTCAGTTTGGGATATATAATGCGACTAATAGTCGATATCATCGCTGAGTATTTGTCCGCATAAGCAGCTCGATGGACCCCCTAATCATGAACTCTCAGAAAAACTTCAGGCAACTTCATCATATTAGTCAATTACTGGTGAATACTATGTGACTTATTGAAGTGTTGGTTTACAGGAATTTCAACGATTTCAGGTTTGATGAGTTTGTTATCAAATTCCTAGAAAAAGTTCATAATTATCTCAAGTGGTTCCATGAATCACTTCGTATATTTATTTCCTTGAATGACTGTCTTTTTGATGCCATCGTGTTTTTAAACACAAATATACTGGTCTTTTAAATCAAGATAATTTTCTAATGTACGGGTAGAATGTGCTCATTTTCATATTAAATAAACTAATCTAATATGCAATTTGAAGAATTCTAGCAACTCAAACAATCAAGTCACTAAATCAGCTACCCGATTCTTGATGTCTGATTTCAAAATAAACCTTTAAAACAAGCAATAAAGGTTAATAAAGCAGGATGGTTTAAGGAATTCATCAAATTTCGGTAGAACTCGTCAGCTGAATACTCTACATACATGGATATATATACTTTTGAAATTACTTTGGGAGATATAAGGCTGATAAGTAAACAAACTTCATTGAATTAGTCATGCAGAAAGACAGGTGTGAATGTTTTCTTGGTCATGTTCAAACAGATAAGGGAAGAGAGAGTATGAGAGATTTAAATTAAGATGAAATGCATTACACTTCAATTACATCACTTAGATAAACAATTAGTCATTGGAGAATACATCAAGAATTGCAAACAGAGTAATATCAATAGTAATAGTTATTATAATAATAGTGTTGAGGTGAGTTGAAATAATCCTACTGATAAAGGATAGTTTTAAATGAATCACGAATAATAATAATGGTAATAATAATAATAAGAGGTAGAATAATAAGTAAAACGTATTACCATTGTAGATCTCCCAATGTAATTTCAAAAGTATATATATACGTGTATGTAGAGTATTCAGCTGACGAGTTCTACCGAAATTTGATGAATTATTAACCTTTATTGCTTGTTTTAAATTCGTATCTGGAAATAAATGCTTTCAAATAAACTTTTAAATATGCTCAGATATTTTGATGTATACAGATTTTGTATTACAGGGGATTTAATAGGTGAAGTAAGTGTGTTTCAAAATAATACTCCAAATGACACAAATTTCGAATCATTTAGCCACTCGGAATTCTCAGTATGTCTGTCTGTTATGCATTAGTACATCTAATTCTCTGGCTTCATAACTCGAAAAAGATGAAAAAAAAATACTGAAAAGACTGATGGTTAGTCATTTCAATCCCTAATAACTGTATAAAGAAAAAAGAAAAGATGGAAAACATAATTTATTCTTAATATTTAAGTGATTTTGTAAAAAATTTGGGTATATTTCATTACTCTCAGTGCATGTTTTCATTTGAACTTGACAACTGATCATTTTACATGTGTGTGCGAGATGCTTCAATGTTTCCTCCAAACAAGTACATCATATTCATCAACTCGATTCTCTTTACCACCCCATGGTAAATAAGCACATGGATGACCATCGTGTAACTGAAAGATGTATACAAATTTTAAGCAAAAATTAATTAATATACAGGCAGAATTATTTTGCAGTTCTGGGGTAATCGTTTAATAAGTTATCTTCTTCTAAAAATGTATTTTAGCCTTCGACCGGAACAAGCTGGCATCAAGAGAATCAAGTCATGTGTTGATCAAATCGCCACACAACGGATCATCATTGAACAAAGCTTGGAATGGCAGTCACCTCTCTATCTCAACTTCATCGACTTTGAAAAGGCCTTCGATAGCGCAGCGTCGATCGAGAGGTGATTTGGAAACTACTTCGCTACTACCAAGGGGTGCCACCGACAATTATACATCTCATCCAACAGCTGTACGACAATGCTGCATGCCAAGTAATCCACAACAGGAAACTTACGGAATCCTTCGAAGTGAGGACAGGAGTAAGACAAGCTGGCTGCCTACTATCGCCAATGATTTTCTTGATTGCAGAAGATTGAATAATGAGACAAACAGTGGGCAATGAGGAAACAGGCATAAATGGACTCACAAAAAAACTTGGAGGATCTAGATTTCGCCGATGATATATGTCTGATTTCTCACAAACTGGAAGATATGCAAGCGAAAAGCAACAAGTTAGCAGAAGAAGCATCCAGAGAAGATAGCACTTCAGGTGAGCATTGAGAAAACAGAGGTGATGATTCCTGGGCAACACCACCAACAGCGACAACAACAACAGACAACAATCAGCATAAATGGGAGGAACCTGAAAGAAACAACCTCCTTCACCTACCTATCTGGGAAGCATCGTTTCAACTACAGGCGGAACCGACGAGGATATCAAAGCAAGGATCATCGGGAAAGCAAAACAAGCTTTCACTACTCTCAAGTCTGTGTGGAGGTCAGCAGCACTCAGCATCAAAACAAAGATAAGATCCGGATTTTCAACTCCAATGTGAAGTCAGTCAGTGCTACTATATCAATCAGAGACTTGCACTGCGCGTCATAAAAAGCATCTCAAGCAAAATACAGACCTTCATTAAGAGCTGTCTTCTCTCAATACCACTCAAGATCAGATGGCCGGTCAGAAAAGATCAACAACAGAGATCTCTGAGAGTGAACCAACTCGGCAGGAACCGATTGTGAAATAAATAGGCAGGAAGAAATGGAGATGGATTGGCTGGCCATACTCTGAGGAAACCATCAAGTGACATCACTAGACAAGCTATTGCTCGAGTGGAACCCAAAAGGGAAGCGGCGAGTTGGTCGTCAGAGTGAGGGTGACTTGGAGGAGGTGATGTGAAGAGGAGATGAAAATGCGTGGGCAGTCATGGAGCCAGGTGAAGACTCTAGCAGAGAACCGAACGCAATGGAGACGCACGGCTGAAGCCCTATCATCCTCTAGGAATTAAATGAATTAATAATAAATTTCTATTCAAGCTTATTATTCTTTCCCTATCAGTAATGAATGAATCACAGTTTCAGGGTTGAAAATTTTAGGACAAATAAATACCAACTAGTGAATCACTGTAGACCTGTAGATCCTTGGTTGTTACTGCTCTGCAGTATACACTTGCCAACACGGAAATAGTCCGGGAGTAGATTCCTGGCTGACGCATTCCTAAACCTCACCTAGTCTACTAGCCGATAGAAAACCTGGTAAAGAGAGACGGTTGAACGTGAAGCTAGCTAACTCACTTTGTGTCAGAAACAACACCGACACTACTCAACTTTCAAAGCTTGGAGCCCTAAGTTAGACTTGAGAAGCAATGGAATGAAGTAAGTGTATGCGCCTGCCAGTAAGGATAATTAACGAAGGAACTGTGCAGAAATGCAAACCAGTTAACAACCTGTCGATCAACAAATATGCAGAAGGAAATAGGGATAGATTCGATATAAGCTGAGAAGACCGTTGGGTGACATCACACGCGAGTCAGGTCCTCAAGTGGAATCCATGTGGGAAACAACGATTGGGGTGTCGATCCGAGCGTGACGTGAAGGGGATCATCTGTGGAGGAAATGAAAGCTTCTCCTCTATCGTGGAGTCAGCTATAAAAGGTATCAGAGAACAGAGCAAAACGGTGACTCGATGCTGAAGCCTTATGTTCCCCGTGGGACCCAGAGGAATTATAGTTACAACAATAATAATAGTAAGCAGCAGCCACGTTGCTGAGGATAGACGGTAAGATTTTCAGGTTTCAAGAAAAATACATGGTAATCTAGACATTTGATGAGAGTCTTAGCTTTCTTTTTTCAACTATTATCGCTACTAAGCATAAAGCAACTGCTATCTAATAGCATACTGCACTCTGTGGACTTGTCATGATTGTCATGATTGTTTGAACTTAGAGGAATCTTTTCAAAAGCTAGTTAGTAATGAGCAGTGAATCAGTATCAGATGTCAAGATTGCTGAGATTAGATATTAGACAACTAGTAGCATCATTCTAGAAGTTTTATATTTACAATGAATTACGAAAAAGTGTATTCCTTTCATCAATATTCAGCTGAATTCTAATGCAGAAAAATTATGGTTCACAATTCAAATAAAACTGGTGAGTTTTCCAGGAAACTGGGCAATTAAGCCAGTTCTTGCTTACCTTTCCAATGCATAACTCTCCATTGACGTAACCCTTTACCACGTACAATGGGCTACCGTCTTTAGCGATTCCAGCAACGATTGCATTTTTTGGTATATGTCCTCCACTAGCTTCTTCCCAACCATATCTGTATAGAAATGAAATTTATGTTGTGAGCTATAAATATATGTGTAAAACTTGAGCACTGTGGTAGTAAGTAATTCCATATCAGTTTGTTTATTAGATTTATCACACAGTAAAACAGTATTATTTATTGGATGACGTTTCGGACAAAATTTATTGTTCATAGTCATATCAATTATAATCACACGACTGTGAAACTTGAGTTTTATAGTTTTCTTTGTCCTCTCCTATTTGTCGTCGTAGGGGTAGTAGGATTTTCCAGATATCTGGGACAGGTGATGAATCATTCCTATTACATGTATTTGCAGTTGATTCGATAAACAAAGCTTCCATTATCAATCTCTTTCTCCACCCTGTGACATTAGATTTTAAAACTGTCATCCTATCCCATCCTATTGTATAGTTGAGTGTAACTGCAAGTAGTGCTATAGCTGAACTATTCTCTAGATTTCTTATCTTATTCGGGTCAACCAATCTAGATTTTGCTAGGTTTTTATGTTCGGCTAGTCTGACTGCACCTGTTCTACTAGTTTAACCTATGTATTTGACCTGAAAATCAATGCAGGGTATTAGATAAAATAATTTGTTTTGAAGGCTCCACAGGATCCTTTAACGAACAAAGCTTGTTGCTAATTGAGTTAGTGGGTTTGAATGCCAGCCACTTTTATTCCTGCCTTGTTAGGAATTCCGCTTAAGGTTTCCGAGGTTCCCTCCTTGTATGGAATTACTACTGATTATTTAGATTCCTTATTGTTGATGTTGTCTTGCGCATGTTTGACATGCATGTCGTCATTAATATTACTATTATTATGATGATTATTATTAATATTATTATCGTTATCAACCATACAATAGGATGGGATAGGATGACAGTTTTAAAATCTAATGTCACAGGGTGGAGGAAGAGATTGATAATGGAAGCTTTGTTTATCGAATCAACTGCAAATACATGTAATAGGAATGATTCATCACCTGTCCCAGATATCTGGAAAATCCTACTACCCCTACGACGACAAATAGGAGAGGACAAAGAAAACTATAAAACTCAAGTTTCACAGTCGTGTGATTATAATTGATATGACTATGAACAATAAATTTTGTCCGAAACGTCATCCAGTAAATAATACGTCTTCATAATGAAAGCGAAAGGCAAAATGCATTTCGGAACATTAGTATTTCTGTCACTGAGTACATTAGTTCTATATGAAAGTTGTGGAAACTTTTTACACATTTAATCAAGGTAAAGATTTTATTTTCAATTTTTATACTTATATAGTGATATACATCTGTCATTTGATTGTAAGTGGCTAACAGAGGAATCCAAGAGAGATGTTTCGTCCTTATTTAGGACTCGTCAGATAAATGTACCTTTTCCTTAATAAATAATTGTGTCCTTATTGAGACAGGAAGCCAGAATCCATCTACAAGTTCCACTTTTAGCCACCACCAACCAAGTCGCATCATGTTTATCCCAAGAAATCATCAAACTTTTCATGTTAGGAGCCTGTGTATCGCTAGGATCTGTGAATTTCGTTCAAATATGATTATTCGGCGGGAAATTCATAGTGATTTAAGCTAATATGCGTTTGAGCTTATATATTTATTTTTAAATGACCATTCATATTTCCCCTACAGAGAAGCTATTGGTTTGCATCTCACCACAGTCTAGTTTATTGCTTTATCACAGATTTTAGTTCACTGCAACTATACGTAGGACAGAAAACTCATGCTTATATAACGACATACCAGCATGCACAACAATCCTAATGTTTTCTTTAGAATTAGTGTTAGAGGGACTTAAGTGCTGGACTCTTACCTTTACTTCAGTTGAAAATGAATAATAGTAAATTCCGGAATATTTATACTTTTCAGAGTTATTCAGCTTAAAGAGATAGTTTACTACTCTGTAATCTAAGTGCGAAGCTTACATTACACCCATTTTGTCCCAGAGACTAGCCAGATGTATACGGAGAACATTTTACGCAGCAAATCTGTGTTTGTCATTTTCTGATCGGTGAGTGATTGGAACTCAAACGAAATGCAAGCTAGATAGTTTTGTCACATCTGTGTGTATTTATTAATCCAGTTATGTTGAGCGTATTACTAGACAGCTTAGTCAACGTGTTACTGAACATCTTCCATTGTGGTTTGGTATAGGATAAACATCAGAGTGTATGGCTGCGAGACATGATAATTATTATATTTGAAATACACTAAAAATCCATCAATGGTTATGTTGACCGTATTACTAGACAGCTTAGTCAACATGTTACTGAACATCTTCAATTGTGGTTTGGTATGGTTTGGTATGATCATCAGTCTGTTGTATATACCTTGATGCAAGTATGCTTTATTTCACGGTTTTCATTTACAATAACAAGTAGATGACATTTTGTGTTTTAAATATATCAGGTCTCTGAAAGATACAGTGAACTGTGTAATTCACAAGTTGGAAATTTCAATTAACACATTCAGTCATAATGATAAATGATGCAGAAATGCTTGATGACAAGAACAGAAGGAGTATCTTGCTCATAGAAGCGCACATTCAAATGAGAATGGTAGGTCAAGGCTTGAAAATCCAATAATGAGTTGGCGTAATATTTGATTTTAAATAAAGTAGACGAACCAAGTTTTAATGAAGATATATTGAGGATATAAAAGGCCTCACAGAAAAGTGTTTAAAGGGAAACTGTTATAATGTCAACCGGTCTATTCACAGCCTACAGGTTGACAACCGCGTTACTGATGTCGATCAGCTTTCTGGGCAGTATGTAATTTTGAAAACTAGCGACAAACCTAAATGCAACGATAAAATAAAACAGTTAACTCCTACCTCACTCACCCTCATTCACTATTTGATGAGGAACACTGGAATCACTCACCTAACATCCATTGACAGGATAGACTGAAATGAAATCTCCTGAAGTACCTCACCAACACTTTTTTGTTTATTCAACACTTTCATATAGAAAAGAGCGTTTGACTACTGCACGCGTTCTTTCACACTTCTTAAGTGTATTAATTATCCTCCCATTAGTTTCTTAATAATGCCTCGTGAGAGATTAATTCAAGTGGATTCATGATATTAGATGGTTGCGAGCAGTTGGCAAGAAGCCTGTGACCTAGGTTTCGTGCTAGTTACTACTCACTAGTCAGCAAGGCCTATCTGCAGCCTTGAAGGAACTCATATCCCTTCTGAAATTCGAACTCGCGTCACCCAGTGTGTACTGCAGTGAGAGACGTTGCCAGTGAGCTATTTGGGCTCGCGATTGACCTCCTGTAGGTCTGTTTTGGATACTTTGATTGGACACTAGTAGCTAGTGTGATGTGTCCAGTCCTCTCTTCGGTGCAGACTGAATTCTATCAGTCTGGTTTGTAATGTGGCCACCATTCTAGGTCGCTCACCATCATAGTGTACATTGATTTGATGATATTAGATGGTTGGAGGCAATCGGCAGTATGCCATTTCACAGTACTAAAGTGAAATCAAGTAAACTTCTAAGTGATTGTGAATAAGAAGAGAATCAGTTCAACATTCCGTTAAAAAGCATTTTAAAACACTCAAACACTTCTGATTATGGAGAAGAGATAATAAGAATTTTCCAGTATCTACTGATGGCCAATTATTGAAACCTGTGAACTTCCCAGTTGACTGGCTACCAAGCCAAAAGATTTGTTGCCTGTTGGCTGTAGAGCAGATTTCTTGATCGTGTCTTTGATTTTCACTTAATGTTATCTGGAAAGTGAGGGATTCCACGACCATTATCCATCCAGTAAATACAATAATAATGCAAATCGATTATTTGTAATGCCATTAACCATTAGTCAATTCAAATTGTATATTCTGTAATAATTATAAATTTAGTTCCAGTGCTGCACACTGAAGTAAAACTCCAAGCTAAAGTAAGTCAAATGGTTATTCAAAGATATTGAAAAATTTTTAAATAAATTACCCTTTAACAGTACCAGGAACAGAACTGTCACACAATACTTCATAATCATTTGACTGCAGCTCTTTTCCATCATAGGGACAGTAACACCTTCCATGTTCCGGGACTAATTTTCCAGGTAGCAGTTCCCCACTGTGTTTACTTCTTATCACATAAACATCCTCAACATTAACTGCATTATGTGGATAACATCCACCACTTCCAGGTATCCATGAAAGTGGAAGTTGTATACCCCTACCGACTTTTGCCATAGTTTGTCTGACTGCTCTGGAAATTAAATAAAGCAGAAATGTTCTTTAGTATCCGATAAAGACATGACTTTGGGAGATTTTATCACAACTAGAAATTGGCCATAGGGCAATCTTTATATCTGCAGTTTAGTTAGGTTGCAACAAGCAATGCTTTAAATATTGGTAAATGTTAGCCGTAATGTGGAGAAACTATTCAATTCTAAAGTGGCCAGATGCACCAAAGTAAAGAAAGAGTCCACAGTGGTGTTTAGTGATAGTCGTTTTGTTCATCTTAACTATTAAGACGAAATTGTCTATCCTTCAGTTTCACTTAGACATGAACAAATAATAAATTGGCAGAAGTTAGAATTCATTGGATGGCTATTGGGTAGGGTCCCAGTGGCTTAATTGTCTATGAGCTAGCTTGCCTTGTAACCAGGAGGTACTGGGTTCAAACCCTAGTGGTGGGTGCGTACTGATGAGGAGTCCCGAACTAGGACGGAGGAAACAGCTGGCTGTCCAGTACTCCCAGCAGGTTTTCCAGTGGTTCTCTAACTGATGTCATCTCATGATGAAATCCTCCATCCAATCAAACAAAATTCTTACAAAACCAAAACTTGAAAAATGATAAATAATAATCGCTTTATTCCAAACATTAATGATTACACAGAATCGAATTTTCAGCGTTTTTATGTATACTGCAACAATTTGGCTCCCTTCATAAATATGTACATACATAAAATTTAGTAATAATAGTGATAATAATAATAATAAGACCACTATAGACAGGATGTTGGTGGAAAAATGATTAAGTTTAAGTAGATAGTATCATAGATACTACATGTTATAAAAATCTTTGCTTACACTTTGTAGTTCAGTTACTTATTTAAAAAGTATATAATTTATTTTACTGACATCTGACTCTTCATACAGAACTTGTGCAAAATATGGTGTGGTAGAATTTTTATATTTAGTTGTACAAGCACAAACTCTCATAAAGTTTTTCCTGGTTTTACCCAAAGAGATACACGGAGAAAGTTGAGAATGAAGAGGATGTTCAGTATAGGACAAGATAACTTTAGTCAACTGTCTGCAAGAAATGAAGTGCCTATTGACAATAATGTGGGTTAGTTGAGTCAAAGGCGCACCTTTAACCTTACTCACAGCCTTCAATGTTCTACGTAATATGACATAGTCCTTTTTGAGAAGTCTAGGGATGAATAAGTGGGATGAACAATAAAGAAGAATGGACAGAATACATGAATTAACAAATTGTAAGAGAAGAGGTTGAGTTAAACTGGAAAGTCTCAATTTCTTTAAGCAATAAGTCAAACAAAAACGTTCTTTAAAAATCAACAGAACGTGAGATGACCAACAGAAATTCGGAGAGAAACTGATGCCGAGATGAAAGGTATTTGATTTACTCCCTATCACAGTGCCGTCATTATTACAGGAATCATGGGAATGAATCAGTCCACGTAAGTCGTTTTCACTTCTAGAACTAAAATCAACAACGTGACATTTAGATGAATTCAGATTAAGACCATTTGTTAACTTCAGTTAAGAAACAATTCGTATACGAAGAATCCAAAGCAGAAACTACTAGGACAGAAATGATTAGATCATTGGCATATGCGGCAAATACTAAGCCGCATCATCCTGGAGAGCCCTGGAAGAAAAACTTCGACCGGAACAGGCTGGATTTAGGAGAAACAAGTCGTGTATTGATCGAATAGCCACATTACGGATCATCATTAAACAAAGCTTGAAACGGCAGTCACCTTTCTATATCAACTTCATCGACTTTGAAAAGGCCTTCGACAGCGTCGATCGAGAGGTGATTTGGAAACTACTTCGCTACTACCAAGGGGTGCCACCGACAATTATACATCTCATCCAACAGCTGTACGACAATGCTGCATGCCAAGTAGTCCACAACGGGAAACTTACGAAATCCTTCGAAGTGAGGACAGGAGTAAGACAAGCTGGCTGCCTACTATCGCCAATGATTTTCCTGATTGCAGTAGACTGGATAATGCGACAAACAGTGGGCAATGAGGAAACAGGCATAAAATGGACTCACACAAAGAACTTGGAGGATCTGGACTTTGCCGATGATATATGTCTGATTTCCCACAAACTGGAAGATATGCAAGCGAAAAGCAACAAGTTGGCAGAAGAAGCATGCAGAGTAGATAGGACTTCAGGTGAACATAGAGAAAACAGAGGTGATGAAGATTCCTGGGCAACACCACCTATAGCAGCAACAACAGACAACAATCAGCGTAAATGGGAGGAACCTGAAAGAAACAACCTCCTTTACCTACCAACATGGGAAGCATCGTTTCAACTACAGGACAACGGAACTGACGAGGATATCAAAGCAAGAATCGGAAAAGCAAGACAAGCTTTCACTACTCTCAAGTCTGTGTGGAGGTCAACAGCACTAATCAGCATCAAAAACAACATCCGGATTTTCAACTCCAATGTGAAGTCAGTGCTACTCAATATACGGATCACAGACTTGCACTGCGCGTCATGAAGAGCATCTCAAACAAACTACAGACCTTCATTATCAGTTGTCTTCGCTCAATGCTACTCAAGATCAGATGGCTGGCCAGAAAAGATCAGCAACAGGGACGGATCTCTGGCAATGAGCGAACCAACCAGGAACAGATTGTGAAACAAATAGGCAGGAAGAAATGGAGATGGATTGGCTGGCCATACTCTGAGGAAACCATCAGGTGACATCACTAGACAAGCCATTGCTCGAGTGGAACCCGAAAGGGAAGCGGCGACTTGGTCGTCAGTGCAAGGGTGACTTGGAGAAGGTGATGTGAAGAGGAGATGAAAACGTGTGGGCAGACTTGGAGCCAGGTGAAGACCCTAGCAGAGAAGCGAATGCAATGGAGACGCACAGCTGAAGCCCTATGTTCCTCTAGGAATTAAAGAAAACAATAATAATAATATTTAATTAAGTTAGTTTTTGGAAGAATATGGAAGCTTATGCAAAAAGAAAGTAAAAAGGAATGGAGAGAGAGTACAGAACATTGAACCACACCAGTTACCGTTAGCAACGAATTGGATCACTTTCCATTGAAAATAGTATGTTGTTTACTACCTTGTGACCCAGGAATCAGTGTTTGTTGAAATCAGCTTGCTGAGTAAGTGTCCTGGGAAGCAGAGTCAAAAGCAGCAGTGTAATCTTGAAAAGAGGCTCGAAAAAACTTTGCTTTCTTATCAAGACTTGAAATAATGTTGTGACACAGTACAAGGACAGCATCTAATGGGCTTCTACTGAATTTGTAATCAAACTGCTTTGGGTCATTAAAAGATTTCATAAAAGGTTTAAGAACATACTAGAGAAGTTTCTTCATAGAAATGGTGGTGTATGGCCTGAACTTTAGAGCTGATCAAGAAGATGACTTTAGTACAGGCACCACCTATATTTCTTTCTAGGCAACAGGTACTGTATCCCTGTGAAACGATGCATTAAAAATTTGCTTAAGAGGATAACACAAAATATTAGCACAAATTTGAAGTCAAATGCTTGGTACACCATCGGGACCAAGGCTGTGTGATAGATTTAAGGATTTGAGACATGACAATAAACCCATTTCATTAAAACCAGCAAAATGATGATTTACGTGACTAGAAACATCAGGTCCAATCATATTAGCTTGTTGCATCATAAAAGATCGATTTAAGGCATTTACATCAGGATAAGCATCAAGTGAAATTTGTTTTCCGCTTGTAAGTTGATTAAAAAGTTTCCAGATATCAGAAGGATCCTTACACGATAAAAAATTTTCACTATATATCCCATTTAGTCTTTGTATTTCAGACTTTATCAAAGAGTTTATTCTTCGAACACCAGAATTATCATGTGATTTATGCAGTTTCTCTTCTGACCCTTTTTCAGTTGTGGAGAAGAGATCCTATGGAATCTCGTGAACAGTGTTTCAGTAGGACAGTAAATGTCCAAACAGAACTTGAGATAGGAGGTAATATTAGAGACAGTAACGTCTGACACTTCATCAACAAATACGTCCTAGTCAGTATCTTGCAACATACATCTCAGTGCTTGAATGTTGTTATCTTATTTGTTATTCTTTTTTACTATTATTAACAATGGATCAATAAGCAGTGCCATAATTGAATATATATTTAATGTTGGTCACTCAGTATACAAGGAGAACTCATTAAAAGTTATCTACAAAGTCAAAAGAAGACCTCCAAAAGTGGTAAGCTTCCCTATACTTTGCGCTGCTGTGACCTTAGAGATTCGAATTCATGTACACAGAAGAAACGTCTCAATCCTCACCTTCAACCTTGGGTATAATTTCAACGTAAACTGTTCTCACTATTCTGTTGTTAATACAACAACTAGATTACAGTCACACTTACCCACTAATTAAAGACAGATTTCCACAAGTTTAAGTCATTTTACGACCACGCCAATTGAGGTGGTCTTGGTTAGGCAGACCACCCTCCGTATGTGACGGTAATGACTGACATTCAGTAATTGAAGCAGAATAGGAAAAAGAAATATTTAAATCTCAACTGTTAAAAGTTCGGGCATCGGGAATGTAGTCTATGGTCTACTGCGTTAGATCTTACCATGTATCAGGTATCACTTTTAATGCAATTGAAAATGGTATGTCAGTCAAAAACACCTCATTTCTAATAATGATGATGGAGATACAAGTGGAGAACAGTTTTTAAAGTCTTTAGTAACTAGTTTTGAAGATTCACGGACGGGTTGAAGACGAAATGTTCTAACAAGGCAAGAAAGAAATGATGCAAGTATAAATGCTGAAAATACTGAATGACAGAAAACATCAGGTCACCCTTGTGAGAAATAGTAATTCAAAGTCAAATCACACAGAACTCCGGAAAACTGGCTTTAGTCGTCATGCAGCTTGCAGCCTTATAGGCTGTAGTTTTCCTGGCTCACAGTTTGTGTACAGTGCATCCTTCAGTTGGTCTAGTACATGGAGACGAAGTTAACATCGATTGAGCCTCCTATCTATTTATCTAAGGGTTGCTTATTTTGTCAGTAACTCTTTATTAATTTGAGTGATTCAATGTCTATAAGTCTCATGCTCCTATAACTTTCAACAACTATGGCTTGAATCCCATAATGGATAAGATTTTATTTTGATAAATCACACAGTGTAGTACAGTTATATTAACTGATGACGTTTCGAGCACAAACTATTCCTCATAATCATATCAAGTTACTCACAACTTCTTTCCTTCATTTATATACATGTGTGGAATCGACTAGATATTGGAATAAAATTCAATATGAGATAATGTACATTCAGAAATAATAGTACGAGTGTTATTAATCCATTGCAATTAGATGGGAAATATGACGAGTGTTTTTATAGTCATAATAAGTTGATTGTTAGAATGTGTTGATGTGTTTGAATGGAAATAGAATTTTAAGATTATTTATTATCCTCTTCTGATTTGACTAGTGGCAATAATACGAGTGTTATTAATCCATTGCAATTAGATGGGAAATACGATATTTTTACCGCCAGTCAAATCAGAAGAGGATAATAAATAATCTTAAAATTCTATTTCCATTCAAACACATCAACACATTCTAACAATCAACTTATTATGACTATAAAAACACTCGTCGTATTTCCCATCTAATTGTAATGGATTAATAACACTCGTACTATTATTTCTGAATGTACATTATCTCATATTGAATTTTATTCCAATATCTAATCGATTCCACACATGTATATAAATGAAGGAAAGAAGTTGTGAGTAACTTGATATGATTATGAGGAATAGTTTGTGCTCGAAACGTCATCAGTTAATATAACTGTACTACACTGTGCGATTTATCAAAATAAAATCTTATCGATTATGGAATTATACTCTACCACAGTGCCCAAGTTTTATACTTATACTATGGCTTGAAGTCTTACATGAGATACAACTAATTTCTGTTATGGTGTAGTGGTTTTTGCTAGATTTCCAGATATTCAAGTCTATTTTCATGATGAAACAACTGGAAATTGTTAAATTAGCCTTGGCTTTCCTAAAATAATTGGTCTACTTTGTTTTGAAAGGTAGTGATTTGACCAAATTTAGGCAACTAAAGCCATTTTAAACATTCTGAAGTTATGTAAAATATTGATTTCAAACAGCTGTACTTTTTTAAGGCTAACTCGAACTAAGTTGGGAATAAAAAGACATTTGGAGCTATTCATCATATCTGTGGTAAGTTTAGGTGGAAAGAAATAAAATACTAGTGTGTTGCTAATGGCAACCCACAAAACGACTACCTTAATATATTACAAACGTAATATCTTATGCATTAATACATTTGCTGGATTAAAAACACTGTGTACCGTCCTATTTTGGAACTTTTCAGCAGTGCACACCAAAAATCCCGCCAGGGATCGAATCCCAGTACTTTCAGGTTGCTCGTTGATCATTCAACCACTTGGGCTGAAATTAATGAGCCCTGCATTCTAACTTGTCAGTTCGTGAAATATCTCTGCCATCATCAGTGCCTTAGATGAGCATGGTGGATATCACTAATCACAACTTACCACTGTACCTGCAGAAAATCCATCCAGGTGGTCATTACTAGGCTGGCAATTGATGTTCAAGTTATAGTATAGATATTCAGTGATCTCTCTAACTGATGTTAGTTCATAATGAAAATCCAACAACCAAAGTAAATTCAAAATCCCCACAAATCTTATAATCTGAAATTCGTTTTCAGCATTAAAACACTATGGATTCCAGAGCTTTCGAAACTAACAAACAGCAATTTCGAAAAGAAAATTATGATGTTTGATAGCCTCTTTCTAAACACTGTAATTCATACTTAAATTCACAAGTGGCGAATAGCTTCAAAAATGACTGATGGGTAAAGACGAAGTTTGTTGCTTCTACATTTGAATGATAACTGATATATAATAAACTTGAAATTGAAAGGAGAGGTGGGAAAATGGAAACTAACAACTAAGAAATAAGGCAAAAATAAATGGTAACACTGAAATAATTGGGGGGGGGGGACTTGTTGTTTGTAGCGCTGTTGTGTTCTCTGAGATTGAATATGTAATTGTGTAGCTTTCGTTGACTTTCTGGACAACACCTTCAACGCTGAATGCATTTGTCAGTAAAAAATAAGACGGTAAAGGCTCAATGAAACCAAATGATCGTGGTGAGTTGAGCAATTAGACGCAATTCTTATCATAGAAATTAGTCTTTATTAATGAATTATCTAAACTTCTAGCTGTTCAAAGGTTTTATTTTACTTTTTTAGATAACTTTAAATGATAGACAGAGCAGGGTGAGTAAATGTCCCAGAATCGTGATTGGTTCTCTTGAAAACCACCATGAAATTACTTGATAGATTTCTTATGAAAAAGCCTTTTGTTGACATTAAGGAGTTTTAATTTGCAGCTCGTAGGTTGCAGTCTCATGTGTTGTAGTGTCATCAGTGGTCGGCAGGTGTATTCGTCACAATTATGAGGAATTGCTCTTTATAAATATCTCTCTGTGTTCAGTCACTTTACTTAGGTGGTGCAACATGAAGTTAAGCGTAGAGTGCTAGGTAAGCAAGAGAATTCCGTCAAGGAGGTTGAATAGGGCATAAAGTATGCATACGCAGCTCCGTTTTTCATCAGAAAGTATTTTTAGCTGATGATATATGTCTGATTTCCCACAAACTGGAAGATATGCAAGCGAAAAGCAACAAGTTGGCAGAAGAAGCATCAAAGATAGGAATTCAGGTGAACATAGAGAAAACGGAGGTAATGAAGATTCCTGGACAAGAATAACAACAACAGACAACGATCAGCGTAGATGGGAGGAACCTGAGAGAAACAACCTCTTTTGCCTACCTGGGAAGCATCGTTTCAACTACAGGCAGACGGAACTGACGAGGATATCAAAGCAAGAATCGGAAAAGCAAGACAAGCTTTCACTACTCTCAAGCCTGTGTGGAGGTCAACAGTACTCAGCATCAAAAATAAGATCCGAATTTTCAACTCCAATGTGAACTCAGTGCTACTATACGGATTGGAGACTTGGCCAGCGCGTCGTAAAGAGCATCTCAAACGAACTACAGACCTTCATTAACAGTTGTCTTCGCCCAATACTCAAGATCAGATGACCGGCCAGAAAAGATCAGCAATAGTGAGGGATCTCTGGGAGCGAACCAACCAGGAACCGATTGTGAAACAAATAAGCAGGAAGAAATGGAGATGGATTGGCCATACTCTAAGGAAGCCATCAAGTGACATCACACGCCAGGCCATCTCTCGAGTGGAACCCGAATGGGAAGCGGTGAGTTGGTCGTCCAGGGGTGACATGGAAGAGGTCATGTGAAGAGGAAATGAAAGCATGTGGGCAGACGTGAAGCCGGGTGGAAAGGTTGACAGAGAACCCAAAGCAATGGAGACGCACGGCTGAAGCCGTATGTTCCTCTAGGAATTAAAGGAAACAATAATAATAATACGCAGCTTCGTCTTTCATCAGAAAGCATTTTTAGCTGAAGTTATAACTGATTTCAAAAGAAAAGAAGAAAACATAGCACCGATTAATGAAGTCTTTGATTGTTGATCTGTTGATCCGTCTGTGTTACTCAGATTGAAGGCTCTTGATTGCATAGATTAAATTCGTTAACTCCATGTGATCTTTCCTATTCTTCTTCTCGTATATTTTCGTCTACTTTATTTAGTTTTATAACATTTCATTCATCTACATTCAGATGTATTTTTCCAAATTGTTTCGACTTGAATAGATGCACTCTTGTACAAAGTTCTATGCTGATAACGTGCTTGTTGGTATTAGATGGTTGGAGGCAATCGGCAGGATGCTTTGCACCTAGGTTTCCTGCTAGCTGGCACTTGACTTAGCATGACTGATAGAATTCAGTCTGCAACGAGGATAGCACTAGACACATTACATTAGTTACTAGTGTTCAGTCAGAGTATCCAAAACAGTCCTACAGGAGGTTAATCACGAGCCTGAATAGCTCAGTGGTAATGTCTCTGACTGCAGTACTCACTGGGTGATGCGAGTTTTAATCTCAGAAGGGACATGAGTTTATTCAAGGTTGCAGCTACGCCTTGCTGACTGGTGAGTAGTAACTAGCACGAAACCTAGGTGGGAGGCTTCCTGTGGCCGATTGCCTCCAACCATCTAATACCAACAATTCATAGTGCACCGTAATGGCGAGCCACCTAGCATGGTGGCCACATAGCAAGCTTGACTGATAGAATTCAGTCTGCAGTGAAGATAGGACTAGACACATAACACTAGTTACTGACTAGTATGCAATCAAAGATAACGTGCTTCAACTCAATCAACCGTTATTATAGATGAATACCACAGAGTTACAAGTTAATATCATAGTGATATTTAAACTTGTTTAAATATTATTAGCTTGTGTAATAAAATAACATTAGTCAAGTAACATATTTCATTCATAAAATCTTGAGCAAAATAGTATGAATGTAACATTACTCACTAGATACAATAAATTTAACTTTTTTTCTCTGTACAGATCAGAGTGGTTAATTTCAAAAGTTGTATTTATAAACTATCAGTTGGAGTTAACAAATATTTGTTGTAAAGTTTTTTAAATGTTTACATTCAAATATTGATTCAAAATAAACAAACGATTAAATGAATGTAATCTGAAACTTAATAACAAAAATATTTTCCTTGAACATTCTTATTGTGTAGATTCTGTTTGTTTAATTCATTGAATATTTTTTATCGATTGACAGTTGGACTCCTAGTATAGACGTTTTTACGATATCTTTGCCTGTGCTTTCCAGTCAGACTTTTATCAGAAATTACTCAGTGGTCCTCGTCAAATGATCTTAAGCTTATTATTATCTTATAAATTATTATTATTCCCTTGTGTTCCGAGTGGAACATAGGGCTTCAACAACACGTCTCCACTTTGTTGTGTTTTTTCTGCTGTCCTCTTCAGCTGAGTCCAAGATTTCCCATAGTCTCTCATCTCTCTCTACATGTCACCCTCTGAACGACGACCCACTCGTCGCTTCCCATTGGGATTCCACTCGAGTGGTGGCCTGAAGCGCGATGTCATTCGATGGCTTCCTCAATGTATGCCTAATTCATCTCCATTTTATCCTACATATATGTCGAGCGGTCGGCTCATGGTTGGTTCGTCGCCAGTCAGAGTTCTTTGCTGCTAATTCTCTCTGGCCTGCTCGCCATTTGATCCTCAATATGGCGACAACGAAGGCAGCTGTTGATGAAAGTTTCCACCCTGTGACACGCGTGTCAAGCTTCTGACCCATATAGAAGAAGTGACTGACTGACTGACTTCACATTTTGTGTTGAACGGAATCCGAATCTTGTTATTTATTCTGAGGTGGATTGCAGAAGATTTCCAAACTGGTTTCAGGTTGATGAAGGCGCTATCTTGCCTTTCCGATTCTGGCTGGCTGGCTGGCTTTGACATCTTCATCCGCTTCGACTACCTGTAGTTGAAACGATGCTTCCTAGACAAGTGAAGGAAGTAACCTCTGTTAAATCTCTTCCATTGATGATGGCTGGTGCTAGTTGTTGTCATTGATGTTGTTGTTGTTGGTTGGTTATCTTCATCACCTCCGTCTTCTCTGTGTTCACCTGCAGTCCTGTTTTTGCTGCCTCTACTGCTAGTTTGCTGGTTTTCGCTTGCAAGTCTTAAGCTTAATCTCTTCAAATGTCAGATGGTTAATTTCACTATCAGATACAAGCACTACTTGTGTGAACTGGTTAGTTCGCACGGTTCCACTATCATAGATGGCTCTATAGTTGTGAATGTTGAATACCTTGGACTGCGTTTTTCCTCTGATCTTTGCTGGTCTTTTCACATCCTGTTAGTTTCCAGAAAGATATTTTGTTTGGCGTTCTAAGTGAGGGAGTTAAGACTATCTGTTATCATTCCGTGTCTATTGTCACGGTTTGTTCATTCTTGTATTCTGCCTATACTTCTTCACTGCTCTCCCTCAATCTTTCCCAGGCTTCTTAAGAAAGATTTTGTTATACTGCGAAAAGCTCTAAAGGCCATCAGTAGGACGAGTAGCGTGTTGCTGAACCAACTATTTAATACTATTGTAAGCAGACACCTGGATTCCTGCAAGAAAGTAGCAAATATTATCCTCTCACATTCTGAACATCCTCTGTATATACATCTCTCTCCTTGCATCTCATCAAGTAGAACCAGAACCAACTAAAGAAGACTGTATGCTCGGACGACTAAGTGTGAAAACTTTACAATACCTTATTAAGCACACGTTTTACGTGTCGAGAAAAGTGTTAGACAAGAAATTACCCACCTACTAAGGAACTCTAAGTAAGCGGCATTCTTTTGTTCTCATTGTTACATTATCGTTAATATTTTCACTTGATTTAACTTTATATTCATTCCTTATTGAACAATGACATTAATGTAAAGTTTTATTAATTCAAATGCTCTATTTTAATCATTGCTCCTATAATAAGACAATTAGACGCAATATTGTATTACATGCTGAAAATTCCATATTTGCACTGTTTGGAATAAAACTATTATTATTATCACCTGAGGTTTAATATGATGTTGTTTCCCTGATCTTGGTTAGCAGTGTAATCCAGGATATGTATTACGTCCAGTTTACGTGTATTGGCATCCCCAGTGGGTGATAGAGTTCGCACAGTAACCCGAACTCAGCACCTACCACTTCAACTTAATATCGTCAACAAATAGCAACTGATACCTGATACTAAAGAGCTGGTTCTGAAGGGTTAGTCGGTAAGGCTTTGGCGTTTGAAGCTATGGGTCCTGTTTTCAAGTCTCAACTGGAAAACCATTATTCACTGAGGATTGATATGCATCCAATTGACGAATCTCAAGCAGGATGAAACGCGACTCGTGGATTTTATTATCTAACGCTAAGAAATAAATTAGATTGTAGATTTTATTTTAAATTTTTATCTCTCTTTATCACACTACCAGATCATACGGAGTGATAAAAGGAAACATAATGGGCTGATTGGATTAATGTCATCTAATTCCGAAAGTACTGAGCAATGAGCAAGGTTTTGGTATACTGTAATCAATTATACATGGGTTCTGAGTTAACCATACATTTTTTAAAATCCTTCACGTTCCCAGTGAAACATAGGGCTTCAAGCTAGAGGCTTGAAGTTTCTGTAGCAGAGTTTATTTTTACGGGATGCGGTTGCTGGCCTCATGCCCAACCTTCCCTCCTTACCAGTCTTATTACTGGCTTAGCGAGATAAAGGAGTGCGTCGGCCGGGGATCGAACCCCGAACCATGTGCATGGTCGGCGAGCGTCCTAATCGCTGTGCCACCGACGCACTAACCACACATGAAACACAAGATTTCTTATTTTCAATAAAATTTCAACTGATAATACTCATTCACTGTTTGCGAAAGACTGAAATACAAGCGAATATTGATGAAAAACACGAAATCTGAGTGAAATTCCCAGCTTTAACCAGATAAAAGTAGAAAAAAGACTGCCATGTTTTCAAGTGTTAGTTTTCAAACAATCGATTGATTTCAAGTTTGATCACCAGCTGTTATCAATCAGAGAAATACTGAGAACCGAAAATTGCTAGACACTTGTTTCATAATAGGGTTGAAACACTTTGACAGCAAGCAGACTGGCCTAGTAACATGAAGGCAGTGGATTCAATACCCCCACCGGGTCATGGGTATGAACTACTGAAGAGTCCTAAACAGGAACGAAACAATTTTCCAGTAAGTTTTGATTTTCAGTGGTTCTCTAACTGTTATTAGTTCTTGATTTAAGTAAGATGTTTGTAGAAATATGGAAGTTTTGCCATTTCATGTGATTTCAAAAGTGGTGAATTCATATGGATGAGATATTTAAAGTATGGTATAAACTGCTGTGTAAACGGAGCACAACAATTCCCTTTATTAGAATGTAAAGAAAGAAATATACATCTCTAGTTACTCTTAGGACAAGTAAATACACATTAATTACAATTTGAAGCGAACCCTAAGATGTGTAAGCGTCACATCCTGTTCAGTAAAGAAATAGTATTTTTCAACAACTTCATTTTCAAGTATTGCTTTTGTAGGGATTTTGTTTGATTGCATGGAGGGAAGCCGTGACTAGTAGGATACAACAAGTTGAAGATGAGGCAGTAACTCATCGAAGAAGACATTGAGAAGTAGTCGCGCTATATGATGAATTGGCAGAAGCTAGAATTCATGGACTGGACATTGAAACATCGGGTCCTAGTGGCTTAATGGGTCTACGAGCTAGCTTGCCTTGTAACCAGGAGGTCCTGGGTTGGAACCCTGGCGGTGGGTGCTTACTGATGAAGAGTCCCAAACTAGGACGGAGGGAACAGCTGTCCAGTACTCTCAGCTGGTTTCCCAATGGTTCTCTAACTAATGTCAGCTCATGATGAAACCCTCCATGCAATCAGATTTCATTTTCAACCTGAACAGTCTGTTTTATTATTATTGTTATTATTGTTTTGTCATAGTCTCAAATTGAAATGACAGGACTTTAATCACTTCATGCCTGTTAATATGTATGTCTATCTTCAGTAATATTATTTTTATATTCAGAACACTATATTTATGGGCATCTTTAATCTTTTTCTAAATTTCATGCACTTCAAATTTACCTCCTGAAAGATTAAAATCGATTGATTTTGTATTACTTTTGCACTGGTGGAGTTATTTTTAATGTCATCTACTTCTGATTTATTTTTTTAAAAGATTATTTTCATTCTCCTGGATTCCGAGTGGAAAACAGGTCATCAGAAGTATACCTCTATTTGGTTACAGGATTTCAACATGAGCTGACATTTGTTAGAGAACCATTGGAAAACCTGAGAGTACTGGACAGCTGTTTCGTCCTAGTTTGGGTCTCTTCAGTAGTAAGCACCCACCGGGGTTCGAACCCAGGACCTTCTGGTTACAAGGCAAGCTCGTATACCATTAAGCCACTGGGAACCTATCCAGTGGCCATCCCATGAATTCTAACTTCTGCCAATTCACGATATAGCGCAACCGCTAGCCAATGTCTTCGGCAAGTATTTGTCCTCACGTCCGACCTGCTGCACTCTACGGGTCACGACTTCACACTAGAATCCCAGGTAATTATCTACCTGAACAGGACCTGTCGCTAGTGAGCAGCTCAGTACTCCAAGGCTTTCCAGAGGTTCTCTAACTGATGTCAGCTCATGATGAAATCCTGTGACCAATCAATCAAATCCCTACAAACCAATACTTGAGTATACCTCTATTTTGCACTGTTTTCTGCAGTCATTGGGCTACCAGAATTTCCATCCATCAAAATGCTTAAGCTCTTCTGCACTCCTTATTGTTTTAGTCGTTCATAGTTAATTAGTTTCCGACTATTTGTTATTCAGTTTTCGGAGGAAATGTAGACGAAATGTACAGAATTAGTTCTCCCCTCATATGCAGCAGAACTACAACAAATAATGTACTTCAGATTATTTGCTTTACATGTAAATTCTGTATGAAGAGGAAATATTTTGGAACTGAATACGCTGAAAATTTCTGTAATATGT